ATAATAATATATCTCCCGCGTCTACGTAATAAATAAATTAACTAATATAAATATGTAAAGTTCAGTGCTCATCTATTTGTTTTTCATTAGATGGTATAAGTTATTGCTATTCTTAGTAATATTATGAATTGAAGAGCAAACACCAGACCTCTGTACTGGCGCGCGCATATTCGACGGGCTCGATAACTCGGGAGAATGACTAACTGCTCTAGAGACAGCCTCTTACTCTAAAATGTAGTTATTAATATTGCAAAATTTCTACAGAATCCTGCGGAATACCTGGCACTCAATATTACCTTAACAGAGATGTTCTAACTGCTTGAGTAAAGGGGCTCTCCGCAAGCGTGGAAAGTCGTCTCTCAGTAGGTTGTGTTCAACGACTTGTATAGCCCATTTTCAGTGAAGACGCTCTTTAGTAAAATAGAGAATCTCAAAATGTATAAATGTAAGCAATTAGGCACAAAAAAAGCATGCTGTGGATTACTACAACGATCCTTTCTTTATGAATGCTTATCAGAGGCTATATCATCCAGTTCGAAGAGAGGGCGTGAAACACAGAGAAATCTGTTTTTAGTCGGAATCAGTCAAGCTGGATTTGACCCTTCTTGTGATATACACAATTTTGGGCGGTTAGCAATGGCTAGTCCTTCCTATACTACTAGTGGTAACGTACTTACAAACTAAATTTAGAAACATACGAACGTGTAAAACCGTGCGTAGACACAGTTCGTTTCATGTTGAAAGCGGTCTGCCGTTCAGAGCAATGCTTAACGGCAGCAGCATCTGATGCCCTTCACCAACGTCTTAGTGTTTAAGTAAAAAGCCATAACACTTAACACGGCCAAAACTATATAGACATTTTTCGTTCGCCGATCGCATTTAGATGGGTCTGATAATGCGCGCTCACCTTTACCTGTCATCCAGAGAGCTAGCTATATCTAACGAAATCCCCGCTGGGATTGAAGTCTTTGATAAAACCTATGTTGCTGATGCTTCTATTGTAGGCGAAACATGGCATGTGAATGCAAGTACGTCCTGCGTTGCGATCGATTTGCGCGTTGTTACTAACTAAAAAAACCTGATAAAAACGCTGGGTATTGCCAATGTCAATCAAACATTAGTGTTGCAAACGTCCACGTAGGCAAGCATAACGTGTTGACGTTCGAAAATGCCCTGAAGACCAGTGATTAAAACCTACTATAAAGTTTATTCTTAACAATTACTAGAAACCTGTAATTTTACGTGTTTTTCGCGACAAAACGTTTGCCCGTTGTCCTTTTTCCTTCCCTAAATTGACACATTAAGAAGCGAAAGCATTTCGCACCTTATAGGTTACTTTAGGCGTATTCTAATGCGTGTCTTGTTATTGGCTGCCGAGGTAAATTTGTCTATGATCAACTGTTGTCTCTTTCAAAAATTTAGCCCCTCTTAATTGGGGCACGTATTGTATTCGCTGTACTGAGAAGTATTCTCCACTCATGCGGTCTTTTCGTGGTAAGAGAGTGCAGCTTCCATGCTGATCAAAAATGACTGAAACATTCTACAAAATTTTGAAACAACAAGTCGTCGGCGATTCCCAAATAACCCGTTCTTTATTCATTATATATAGATGCTTGAATGCACCCTCAATGTGCGTAGTCTTGCATAGACTACTACGCAAGATGACCAGTATAAACTAACCGAATATACCTAATAAGTTATGAAGTATTCATGCATCTGTTTCGTCTGTAGGGATTGAATCACTTTTTAATCTAAAATAGCCTGGCATAGATGTCTTAAGTCAGCAGGCTACGACGCACTCAGTATTGTCGGGAGCCTGCTTCGCTCGGTCGGTTAAAAGTTTAGAATGTAGAATTATAAGGTGGTCATTAAGATTGAGCCAACAAATTTTTTATGCAGTCCAAATATGCAAACAATCTGTACTAAGTGCAAGGAAAAAGTTAAGCACTGGTAATCTATAAAAGTATGTGATTTCCGAAGGCGCTTAGTAACCCTTCATATATATATATATATATATATATATTCCTAAATTTGACGTGCTCGCGCTCTTCGCACGACATCTCTAAGTTCGTTGACAGTCATTTCGATAATCGTGTCGTCCCCGGTAGAGGGTCCTCCTTGTGCCCTTAATGGCTCTGGTTCAATGGCATTTAACTCAACAAGGAGATTGGGCTCATTTCTATAAACACTTGAATTTCGCTGATAGAAGTTTGCAGCAGGATGAGCGAGGAATTGTTGATGATGAAGGCCTGAATGATATAGTCCGGCGCCACCCGAATGATGAGTTGTGTGCGGGAAACCTGCAGCCTGACATGCCGATCTCATCGTATTCCATCCTTGAAATGCTCGAGCGTCAGTTAAGTTCCCAGTCGGAAAAGTGTGTTGAGATATCATACAGGGCGCACCTGGACATATAGGGACGTGAGGATTAATAGGAGCATGACAGAATGGGTCCTGAGATAACGACGTTACACTTGTTGAGCCTACGACACCTTTGTAAGCTCGTCTTGAGAAGCCATCCTCAAGACTTCTTGTACGAGACCGTGGTTCGGGGACATCGGAGTCATCAGTTTTGTCTTCGAGATTGCTATTGCTGGCTGCACGTCGGAGTGCCGGTCTTCGCGGTATACGAGGCGACTCTTCCCCCCCATCGCGATGATTTGAAGGTTGCGTAGCATTGCTTCGTTTAAAGTTCCGCTGCCTTTTAGCAGCCTCCCCAACGAGCGTCACAGCATTCGGCAGAGGCGGTTTTCGTATACATACGAAGTTCCAAAATCCAATCTCCACACGCACGCTATCGCCTTCACGGACCAAGCTGAACTCGGTATCAGGAGGCATATGGATGAGCCGAAAGCCTAGAGGCGTCGATAGACCTTCAACATGAATTTCTCCCTTTTCGTCATTGTAGTCTATTTTAGAAACTACACCATTAAACTCCATATCCTCTGCAAGAACCACCTGTGAAAGATAATGATACAGATAATATTTACACAGCATCAGATCTTGCTTACTCAAATTGTATAAGTGCAGTATCTAACAGCTTTATGTAGGCCCACTGTAGCCGACATAGAATTTCAGTCTTTACATCTTTCAATTTGGTATTAGGAGAGCTTGTACCAGTATTACTTTTAGTTAGAATCGCTCAATACTGTCGGTTAATTGTGCGTTTGTGGATCAGGTAAAATAAAGATAGCAGAGATTACAATGGTCAACGGCAAATTTTTTTTTACACTTCCAGACACTTTTAAACGATATTCGTTACCACGTTCAGTTACTTACATTGATGGCCCGGCGACGTTGAATGACTTTGTCGTCCTTCTGTACTTTTGAGGTGCGGATCATAAAGGTAACGATTAGGCCAAGCTGAATGTCCGATAGATATCTGGGGTCAAGCAGAACGTCGGCATAGAGAAACGGAATTACGTCGTTTATACGGTCCGTACGGTTTACCTTGATTTCGCCTTCTCGACAATCGCGATTTAAATGTACAATGACGCCTCGAGCCGGACCGTCTGCTGTCAGAACTGTGGACATTTTCGCAACACCTGCAATAGAGGTGGTAACTTATTTATTTTTGAACGATACACACGTCACATAGAGAAATAGTATTTAGTCTGATATTGCACTTAAGCACGGTTATTCTCATACGTTTACTTGTGCAGTGATCATGCTGCAGCCTGCAGCTCACTCACCATAAAAGTACCACCGCAATAATAAATGTGCAGAAATGTTACTACTATACACTAAATATCGAACGGCTGTATTTCTTTTCTCGCATGGCTTACACTAAAGATAAGTAAGTAAAGCATGTATATATATATCGAAATCATAGCATACGCCAATAGGTGTCACTTGAAAAAAGGCCATAAACTGTGGAAATCCTAGTCTCGTTTTTGCTGGACGTAATTTGCGTACGAATAGGTGAAAAATAAAGTTGAAGCAGAGAGTCCAAACAAAAATAGGGTGAAATATGTCGGTAACTTATTGTGGGCGCACATGTTAACTCGTATTTTAAACATGGTATGCTTGAATGAGTCACTGAAGGGCGAGCAAGGAATAATAGTTTCTTCCGTTCAGCTACCCATGGAGCTGCCGGTGATACTTCAATACGAAGAGGAAACTTTTCCGTATATTAAGCTAAATAGATATAGCTATATTTTACGATGATTGGCGCCAAACAATCACTAGCTTTAAATGTATAGCAACGTACTGACTGCAGAACAGTCATAGTAACAACAGTACACAGCTAAGCTATACTTGCGATACTTACATTAACAGAACCAGCTCTTGAAGGGTAACGTAACGCCTAAACATTACCTGTATCAGATTCAGTCCACTGATCAAACTGCGGCGCAGTATATTGACACATCATTGATGCCCACACTATAAGCATTCATCGTATTTGCTCTCAATTTATATGGGTATTTCTCGTAGTTAGCGCAAGGGGAACAATTGCACACGATAAAAACATTGTGACCCGTTTCAAATTAAGAGGAAATCAAGTTAAACCTACCTTACAAGTCGCGTGTACCAAGAGAGACTGCAGTCGTCGGACTGGTTAGACACATACACATACACAGATTAGGGAAAAAGACCTGCTAGCCGTTAGTCAGTACTACGGATGATGATGACAATATGATACGATCCAACATGCGCGCGTGCATCTTCTGCAGACGCTACGTCAACAAGCAAATGAACTATGGCAAACAAACATGTAAATAGGGCAGGGTAGCTGGCCATGCGTGTTTTGGCATAACAATCGCGGCACGTTGCCTCCTAAACTGTGTGAGTTCTTGTTTGTATGCATGCAAACTATTATTCTCTACGTCATATCAAATTCGACGGTGTGAAAACTGCTAAATAACTAATAAGTTCCAAATATAACGCAATTAATGAGATTCAAGTTAGAGAAAATTATACTAAATAGTACAAGATATACCGGTTCGCGGTATATCTTGTACTACATATCGAAAACGTAAATGAAGCTCATTTAAGAGATCGTATTCTCGTTAATTTGGCTTTAATGTACTTAACTGAAAATAGCATGAAATTATCTGCTGTTTGATAATACGACGATATTAGCGATAAATTCACAGGTACAGTTCGAAGATGACAAGCGTGTTTTTCTGTGATCTTTGGTCACGTATTATATAGTCTTACTGGCTCAGCGAAGAGTTCAGGCTGGATATTTGTAGCGCTTAATTAATGAAGGTAATCACGCTTATATATATATATATATATATATATATATATATATATATATATATACGGGTATGAGGATCCGGAAGAATCAGGTGCATGGCCCGATTTCTGAACATGGGCTATCACATTATCCCGTCATTAAGTAAAATGTTTGACGGTTTACTTTGAAAGAGATTCAACTCGAAACGGATAAACTCGTTTCTAGCCGGCTTTAGCCGGGAACAAATTATATCAGCGTAACGATATTAAAATCCAAGTATAATAAGCTTACAATATATGTTTCTTTTTTTACCTGTTTTTCAACAGTTGTCCAATGCTATTATTCTGCAAAAAAAATCTACCGATCGAGGATCTATGTTTAAAAGACAAGCAAGCAGACAAAGAAACAGTGCAGTAATCGACAGGTTCTCTAATGTCACCACTAATAGAAAAACTTCAAAGATGGTATTGTAGACTGAGCATGGCAGTGCCTTTCTGACTTAAGTTTATATTAGGCTATCGATTTCTAGACCTAACTATTTAGTCAAATTACCGAATATCTATCGAGTGCTGACAAAAGGTCGAAAATGATAGTTTTGAAAAATTCACTAGCCATTCTATCGTCCTTATCTATAATGAACGACGTTCTATGGCAGCCTTTGCGATTAGCTACTCATCTGAATTTCTTGTCGTTATAAATATTTGTATCGCAAAATTAACTGACACAAACTAAACAAATTCTCCGGAGGAAATATTTCTCAGATAGACGCCGTACAAATCAATGGGCAAAACCTCGTAAATTTTGACAGATAAGCCTCAGAGATTGCCTACCACAAAACGTGACAAGCCGTTGCCCGCGAAATTGTCATTGTCACGGTGTCGTGCTCAGTTTAGTTGGATAGTAACAACTGTTCAAGTGAGTGGGCCGTTAGAAACATGGACAATTGGTTTTAAACACTACATTTTGCCGATCGTACCTAGGTGTTTGCTTATATACGTAATGAAAACACCGTGATTTTAGACTTCTGTTGTTGACGTCGTTTGTGTCAGTTTATTGGTTCCTCTTGTTTTTCTCAATCTTCATCAGCGCACATTCTGCTTTTCTATGTTTTATGCTGCACATCTGCATTGCTATTCGTCCGTTCATCTTATCGGCTCCTCCTTCTGACTTCTTTTTCGCAAGTCTTCGTTCCGTGCCACAAAAGCATCATCATCACAATAATTTGTCGGCATTATGATTTTGCCTTAGCGCAGAACTAGTAATCAAGTGATCGTCATCTATAAGGCGCCAGTTTATGTTTATCGTGACGCCACGCCGGTATGAGCTACAATAACAGCTGCCGCAGTTGGCCTCCAGTTGCGTGGACCTACTTAACAATAGCAGTGACTTCAACTTAAACGTTTCCGTTGTAACTGTAATTACCGTTGTTGTGGTCATCAGCTGCGTCGACTTCTGCCGTGGCCGTCGTTGGTAGTTATAGCTCGCAATTACCGTTTTGACCTTTATTAGCACACTGATTGATTTATATATATAATGGTTATATATATGTATGTCTTTGTGTGTGTGTGTGTGCAGGCATGCGCACGTGAATCAAGGGAAACGGTATGCTTTTATTATATAGTTATTGGTCACTGTTTTGGTGTTCGCCGACATAGCACGTTGTTGTGTCGCGTGTACGTGCGTGTACGTACCCATCAATGTATTAATTAATTTTGCTAAGCCAGTCTTTGTCCGTTTTTGAAGAACTTTAGGACATCATTGACACTACAGCGCATCGTGCATACATGAAAGCGCTGCTTTTCAATAGAGACCGCCTTTGCTTCAGCGGGTTCGAGTGAATATGCCTATGCGAAAGCTCTTAGCGGCTTTCTCGTCCTTCTGTCATAAAGCCATCCATTTTTAATGCCACATCGAATTATGCCTTATCGTAATGCATTTTCACGCCGCTAGATGGTGCCTCCTTCTGGGTCTAGAGGTCTATTATTTGTGAAATCCCCATACGAATTGCCCAAAAATGTCTATACACAATTGGTTAGCAGGACTGCACAGATTCTGCTACTGTGAAACAAGTGCGCGAACACCGTCAAGTTACCTTTTATTTGTGTTCCGCCTTTTCTCAATCAGACACCCGCGATCTCGTGGCAGAACATTGCTCGTCGTCGGTTAAGATAACCGGGTAAGATAGTCGGGTAAGACTATTCACACTAAGCACAGATTCCTTTACATATGTATGCTGCGAGTTCTATGCCCTTATTCATCGTTATTACTCGGTATTCCTTTCATTATTGTTATTGTCGTCGTCATCGTCTTTTATATTGGATAGTTCCTGTTCTCTTCACTGTATTATCGTGCGATAAGACTAGCACGCTGTTACGGTAAAATTTTTATTTCGAAACATATTCACTTAATGTAGATTCTGATTAGTAACGCGCTTTGACAAAATACTCTTAGCCATATGAGAAAATTTCAAACGCTTTGCAACTGCCGTGCATAATCTTCCTATTTAACAGACATTAACGCTTGGGTTTACGACGGTTTACGAGAAATCGTAAGGTGTCGACGATGATGTTGATGATAACAATTCAGATAGGCTTATCATAAAGTAAACTGTTGTTATTGTTATATCTAGCAACAGCCGCAACCTATCAATGGCGAATGGCAGCCTATTCACACACAGGCCGCGATGTCATCGAAGCAAAGGTCTCGATCATCCGTTAAATATCATATAAGGCCTGGTTCTCAGAGACAACTACAGTAACACAGCAATTAAACAGAGAAGAAAGGAAACAGGCTACAACTGTGAGCAAGAAAGTACCGTTGTTGTTGTTGTTGGTGGTGGTGGAGGTGGAGAACAGAGCATGATTTAGAAAAAGCAATTTTTCTTTTAATAAAATGCTTGTCTGTTCAGTTGTTTGAACAAGGAACGAGGTTGAGAACGAACAGATTATTGCATGCTGTCTATTTATTTACTACACTAGGCCATTCTTGTTCATTCGCCAAATGTTACAGCCTGCATTTTATTATCCGATCCCAGATCATGTTAGCTATCTCTGACCTTCTGGGCCAGAAAAATCAACAAAAAAAAAAAGATTAATTTGCTCTATTGATGATAATTAATCGTTAAAAAGATTGTTTAGAGGTCGCCTACCTAAAATTATTCTTATGCTCTATATACAGTCCCCTTTAAAAATTGATTTCAAATAGGGTTGGGAATTGACCAGAAAATAAATAAATAAATGATAACGAAAACGTTAACGAGTTTTTTTTAGTGTTTGTGTGTGTGTGTGTGTCTGTAAGCAGTATTCTTAATACATGAATGACAGAATAACAATGTCTAACAAAAACTAGACATCAGATCGACCTTCCCTCAACATTTGAACAAATATTAGTCTAAATAGAATATTTTCTAACAACCTCCATTCTACTTAATCTCATTAACAAGGGGATCCTATTAAAAAAAAAAAACGTTTACTTAACTACTAAAAGACCATTGTCACGAGTCCCTTGACCATAAAAAATTTACCCTTGCCTTAAATTACAAAAATAGGCATATCTGTAGTGAAAAACACATTTTTTTCGATACCCTTTTTTTTTTTAGCTTAAACCGAGTTCTCACGTGTACACCGAAAATTTTGCAGCTGACAGTACTATTTAAAAATTACCTCGGCGTACGTAAAAGCAAATATCTCTAGCTGCTTTCATAGCTTTTTGACATTTAAAAAGGGTGGAGTATTTTGCTCTTTGATATACTTATCAATCAAGTAGTAGAAGTGATGTAAACAAAACTTCGTGACCCAGACGAAATGTTGACAATAGCCTTACAGAGTATAAGGTATAGAAGCGCATTAGCAAACATAGAGAAACAACAAATGAAAAATTAGAAAAGCAAAGACGGCCACTATACGTCAGTGTGCGCGAATTTGTTGTGTCTAAACAACTCCTTTCAGCTGCAAACTGATGGGGATGCCATTCTTTTCGGAAATAGTTATTCATCTAAAAACCCCCATGAGCACGAACTGGTTATCACTACAGGTGCTTGTATTATTGCTCTTAGTACTATATAACTTTCGCTAGCACAATGATGATGTAGCAATAAGAATATAGCTGCGGCTTCCTACAACACGCACAAACTATCTGCTTCTTATCCTACGGTAATGACTTGCTCAGGTGTTACTCATACTGTTCGAGTACTTTCTCCAGGCAGCACAGCGTGATCCTTGCATGGAAGGCCAAATAGTTCATTGTCATGGTTAAAAGAATGGCGGGCTAGTTTGAATGTGTCTGTACCCTGTTTTTCTGAGGAGACTGCATTGCTTTTTATGAATAGTCTTCAAGCTGATCGTACAGCACGTGGCGACTGGGAAATTGCTCGAAATAATAGGAAAAAATTTTGTTGCATTCTCAGTGCTTACTTATTTCATGGTACTTCACAAGACGTTGCTAATTTTAAAAAAATATTAATTATATTCCGGGTAGTTTATTTCTATGATTTTTGTCACGATCTGTCATAGAACGTACGTGCACCAGTATGAACGCTATTTATCTTGAACGTTCTTTTTTCTACGATTTGTGAGCACTGGCTCTAGCTGACATTATTACAGTGAGCTAAGGGTACACGAAGATGTAGTTAATTGGTGCAGTGAGCCAGGGCGTCTATCCTGTCAACTTAACGATAGCAGTCCAGCAACGTAGCTATACCCTCTTCAGTCGTCTCATAACACCAACTAGGGCAACAGCGCCTGGAGGAAGAGAACAACAACAACAACAACAACAACAACAACAACGAAACACCGGGCCTGTCTGGAAATGGAAAAATAACTTTATTTTGTACAGTAGCATTTTGAAATTTTCTCTCCTCCACTAAACTTGAACTTGATTTAATGCCTCCACGGTTTCGGCATATGGCCAGTTGATGGTTTTCCCTTCGAATGGCATCCCTCTCTGTACGCTTAGAACACTATTCGGGTCGTATCAGCCAGACGAATGATTTCTTGCGACTATCTTGAACTCGGATGACCCGATCTGTTCGATAGTATCTAATGCAATTTTATAGTTAGATAGAGGGTTGAGTAGGACAGTATATCGCAGTTCATCCGAAAAATTTCGTGGGTCGATAGCCATTATTCACCTAATGTCCTTTCAATGTTTTTGATGTTAAGAAGCTTTTTTTAGCAGGGTTTTCTATGTTTCGATCGTTTACCATGGCTAGGTTGTTTGCCAACAGCATTTAATGACCAACTTTAGATAAGCCAAAAACTATACTGATACATGTATGGATAGATATTGTTACAATAAATGTATATCCGGTTTCGGCCGGTTGGTTTTTCCAATCTTCCAGCTGGTCGGTTACTTATAAACGTATTCTTGGGAGACGAGTGGACAACTTCACCAGCGCAAGAAGTTGTTTTGTCCTAACCAACTGCTGCCGCTACCGGTTTTGACAGTTCAGCGCAACACGCATTGGTCGACCATTCTGACTTGCTCGCTCCACCCAGTTCTTCGAACGTGTGACAGCAAAAGAAAAGTTCTGTATTCAATTCAAACTGACTTTATAAACTAACTGGAGCTGTATTACGACTAAGATCAAGAAACATCGTACCCTATGATCTCTGTTAAGTATAATGTGCTGTTTTTTTGATTCTACTGTGACCGAGCTCCCTCTTGGTTATCAGAGCCCGTTTGATGTTGGCAAGAAACGCATCCTTTTGTAGCCATACGTTCGAAGGATTTGTTTAAGGGAAGTCTTATCTCAGTTCCTGCTCAAAAACATTCTAATTATCCGCCGCGGGCATTTTCTCTAAATTGTACCCTACAATAACGCGGCTGCGTAGGTGCTACCGCTCCGCCACGTAACTTCCTGCTGTGGGCACTACTGGCCCGTCACCGGATACGCAAGTCCTTCCAACTATTTGGATGGCCGGCTACGGTCAAAATCAGGGGTTCTCGCCTTTCCATGAATCTACCAACAAGCGGCAAGATAGGTCGTTTATTCTCTCGCCTTCGTACCCTCTCGAGATGCCACCAAAAATGTTATGACGACAGGAACCGACTGCTAGCGACTAGCGATTAACTGGGGCTGAAAGGTATTATATGCCCAGCATAGGCTGAAATCGGAAAAACACCTTTTGCAACAATGTGTTTTTCTTAATATATTTACATAAAATTTATTGTCGCTACTGGACTGTGCTGGTTACTTAGTTTGCTCTGTCGTCCCCGCAATGTCGGCGCGTTCCTTCTACTTCTCTGACTAGCTACCCACTACGCAATTGGCTTCATAGCTTTTCGTTCAATTCTAATCTGAAGCCTCTGAGTACGCAGAAGTTTACTTGCAAAACGTCGCCCTTCTAATCTTCTTGCGTAGTTTTCCTTTTACGCGCGTGACAAACACATTAACTTAAAAGCAACCAATAAAATGCATTGCTTCAAAAACAACCCTTTGAGAAGTTGTATGAAAGCTTGCTTTGGAAAATCAATCTGGTGCTAAATGCATTGAATGTGCATTCGCAGATCCTTATTGGCCTCTCGTCTTAACATGTTCGCTGTTTCGAAGGCGATAAGTGGCCTTCACCGTTTGTTGCGCGACTATAATCGTCGGGATCTTTTTTCAGATCTTGTCTAATTGCGCTTTTCGGTCCAACATCGCTGATAACGACGGCAACATTGCTTCTCTGCGTCCTCAGGTCTCTAGAAGAGTGCATTTCCGCTCCGCACCTTACGGCGTCCTTAATTTTACCCAACTAACCTCTAGAAATCGGTCGATCGTCCGTTCACCGATTGGCACTTTCACCATAGCAATAGGATCGTCGACTTTCGTCGGAGGGAGATGACAGAGTGCATCACTACGTTTTGTGGATTCCGCCTTTCAACCAAGCTACCATCACCATTTGCGGTTGCAATGCGTCCCTTTGTCGCCCACTCATCGTTCATTTCGGCAGAACCCTTCTTGCCGACCTCGTTGTACGACATGTTGATGGTGCCGGTGTTGCTGTTATCGTTAGTTTAGCACAAATACAAAATATGTCATATAGTTTTTTTAAATATATTGAATTCTATATATACTTCTTTCTACCAGCGGTGCAATAACTTACACCTCTTTCCATCATAATGGATTCTCTCTCTCTGTCTCTCTCTCTCTCTCTTTCTCTCTCTCTCTCTCTCTCTCGCTCTGTATGTATGTATATATATATATATATATATATATTTATTTATTTGTCGCTTGCTCGCTCTCTCGTTAACTCACGTTCTCGCCCTCTATATATATGCGTATATATGCGTGTGTGTATGTGTGTGTACGTGTGTATGTGTGTGTGTATACAGCGTGTGTATTTAGACTACGAACGTCCAGTGCAATATTAATTGCCAACTGGTGATCAGTACAGAGGTGTGATGGCGGTCAACTGCGAAACATTTGCGTCGCCAGTGTGTCCGTTATGTCCGTGTTACGTACTGCTGATGATACTGTTGTGGTTGTTTTTGTTGCTATTACAGGTTATATATGCTACTGGCGCTTCCGGTTCTGTTTACTCGGTTAACGGGCTGTTATTTTTTTGTTAAGCCATGAAATGGGGCGCTGTTTGTTTGTGTGCATTTCTCGCCTGTTTTCCCCCTTTATGTCTAACACTTGATGGTCATTGTTGGTGACCAGCCATTCTCTCCATCGGTGTTCCGTTAACTGTTTACCGTCCATCACCATTTGTTTCCAATATCGTCAACGCCTGCCGTTGCTATTGTTAATTATGTATTCGTTTAGCTATATATCTTCTGCCGCCCGGTACTGACAACCTTTGCTAATACGATATCTTTCCAGTATGCATATTTATTATCATGTTTGTTTGTGTGTCTATGCGCAAAGTTACAACATGAAGAGCTGCTTTATTCACGCGATTGCTTGTCGCTGCCGCAGAACACGTACCGGCTGATATTGTTCCGTACTGTTTTTTTTTTTCTGAAAGTGAGACGCGTCATCCCTCGCCGTACAGTTAGTCATTGAGAGTCAATAGCTCCAGTTTTGTTATGAGTCCTAATTGATCCTCGTTCAGTCCTATACGGACTGTTCATTCGTTTGTGGTGAATGAGCAAAGCATTGTCAACTGTTGTTGCTTCAATATTAGGACCGTCTACTATTGAACGTCGTAATAAATAACAGGACCCATCGAGTGCTGCTGTTTACGAAGTTCGTTGTTCGCAACAAGCTTTGTCTGCTCCGTCTGCGGCTTACCACAAATGATTATGTTCAAAGAAGGACCACTCCATCACAAAAGTATCCTTTTTGATAGAATGGCGCATAGTGGTTTTGTACCGACGAGTCCGACAATCAGACTGAACAATAAACAGCTATTCGGCGTTGATAATACCGTTTGATTGTACATTGATCGTCCTCAAATATCAAGACTTGATAAAACTTTATCATTTTTGATTGCCTACTTTTGCTTATACGACAATGCGGTCTCTGTTCCCTATGCGCCATGATGTGTAATAAATACATCATCCATCCTGAAATTGCAGTACGTAGCCTTCAACTGCAAACCATCAAGTACTTCTCACCCTGCATCACATTAAAGGATCAAATACTTGTTTACTTCAGAATACTTGTTATCTGAAAAGAGAAAAAGATCAGTCAAACTGTTTTATAATTAAATAATCCGCCAATAATAACATTGCGCCGTGCATATGTCATCTCGTCGTATCGATTGAGGGCGTAATACCATATGATGCAACGGGGCCTATCGACAGGGAAACTCGTTCGGATTTGTATATACAAATTCTTCTGATAAGACAACAATCAGCTTTGCAATCGCCAACGTAGCCTATTTGGCACTGAAGTGCTATTAAGCATATAACAACTGTTTAACGGCTGAAACAGTATGTATAAATGTACGTGTTACATGATAATCAACTGCTAAGGACAAAACCAAACGGGTAGATGCTTCACCGGCAGCTGTACCCAACTGGGTCATCTGTCTATATATGGTATCATCAGGGACAGCTGGTACCCTGAGCCGTTGGCCATATACGAGCTCAATAGTAAAGCAATTAACATTGGGTTCGACGGATAGATCGATTGATAGATAAGTTCCTGCGGTAGTTGTAGTAAAGGAGGTGTAGCGGAATTCGGTTTGTTTAAATATCATACCAAACGTATCACGTTCGAAACGATCACTGATCGGTTCCTGAAGTGTTTGGCTGAGCCATTTTCAATTGTCATACTATTGCGTCTTTACCACGTAAAAGCAAAATGATCTTATAGAGGTACATCTAAGAATGTTACAGTTAGTAGTCTCTGTTTCACTCGCAGAACATAGAACCCTTGTTGTCGACATTAATAGGGTGAATACTATTCATGGCGGACATGATATCATGTAAACTATCTCGCAAAGCAACGTCCTGTGAGTCAATACTGCTGTGAACTTGATAATTGAATACTTGTTATTTTACATGTCTCTGTTGCCTTTGCTTTTGCAGATTTTTTTATACGTGCGTCATAGCCTTGAGTCGCTCTAGTTGTACAGCCTTTGAATCAGAAGCGTTTGACTGGGGCTGAACAGCAGCATCATCCGCATAAGAAACGCCTTATAGCTTCGTGTGTGGTGGTCGTCGTTTTCACCATCGACTGAGCGGGAACAATAGAGAAAGTTGTTGCTAGTGGCGTTTTTTTTGTTTTTCCCAACTGTTGCTACTACAGGTGAACCGGACTAAGGACGCAGGTCCTATACACTAGCGTAACTGCAAAAATAGGACGTCAGAATGTAGATTAGCTTCAATTATCTTGCGAACTATGAATAAATGAATGAATGAAACCCGCATCAAGGTGCCAATAGACGTCCGAGGGCATTGTTTCAACAGTCATTATCAAAACAAAGTCAAACTGCATTTCGTTAAGCTCACCCCAGTACTCCGGAACATTTGTATTAAGAATGTTACACGGTTCAATATGATTCAATGAGCAGGTCTCACTTGAATCTTTGCTGGGCTTCGCTTAGCATAGCAACACAGATCACTTTGCCAAAGCATTTATAGCAGGGAACACAGATTAGCAGTGTTAACGCAGCGTGTTTGATAAATGCACTGTTACACTTAGGAAAATTAACCTGAATTTTTCTCTCTGCCGTGGACGGTTACCGTAGCTAAGAGGAGCAATAGGAAATCACGAAGGTAGATTGATGCGTCTAATTCCTGCTCATAGAACCTTCTCTGATAAAAGCTTGTATCGCCTTGTGTAGCCTTAGTACTACTACTGTATTTGACTTGTGTCCCAGCTTCTGATAAGAACTGACAATACCTATACCTTCATTTTAGTTAGTGTTGTAGTAGCCTGATGGGTTTTCACTGCGAGCACTTCATTGGTCCTTGAAATCATTGTCCTAATGTCCATTCTTTGATTAGCAAATCTGCTCGTGAAATCAGACCAGATATAACAACGTGTCCTTACAACACAAGTTATTATTGTTGGTAGCTCTATTGTATTGAATATGAATCAAATGTTAAAAGAGAGAATTAAATGTTTGCTTCATCCATAGCTCGTCGAGCTCGGATACTTTTTGTGCTAGACTATATTGGACAGAAGAAACGTTAGATCGAGAAGCAGTAGCAATTTTGTCTGCTTTATGTTTGCCTCAAGGCAAGACGGTTATATAGAACGAGATTACAAAACAGAACTTTTATATTCGAAATTTGTCTGCATGTGAAACAGTAGCGAAGAGCACTGGACAACTAGAAAAAGAATTATATACAGGTAAGAGGACCAAGATATACCGAAGATGTTTGTTGTTTTTGTTTTAATCCTTATGTGAATATTTCTGCGTTTGTTGTTGGTGTTAGTACAAACGTTTCAGCTGTTGTAGCAGCTGGTGATAAGCTGACACTGTTAACTGGTGGAGTATAATCTGTAGTAGCTGTTACTTGCTCAGCCGAATGCCATCGTCCTCTATATCTTATTTTGCTTAATAATGCGTCTTCAGTAACGTATCAGTCAACAGGTAGGCAATCAATCAATCAATAAGTCAAATATGGATTGTCATCTCTCAACGATACGGGACTCACCGAAATGGCATAACATCTTTCTTTGCACAATGTGTACAAACAGACAGACAAAACCAGTTTGGAAAAGTCGCCTGCGCTGCCACGTTTTTAACAATGTACTATGAATTCCATTGGCGAAACGATGATGTTACTTTAAGCGAGCACTCCCATAGCCTCAAATCTAACCACATACAGATTGAGAATAGAATGAACCCATTTATAGTAAAATAAAACACTTTCTAGTGGTAAATAAACATAAAACAAAGAAGTCACCGTGTCGAAAACGGATAGAGTTGCGCAGATTTCCCAACAAAAAAAAACAACTATACCATTACAGAAGAACAGTTTTCAGGGTATTAAGATAATTAAAACCAGCTTTTTGTTAAGTGGGGAATTTGCGTTCCAGTAAACGAACAATGGTACTGTTATATAAAGAACGCGTCTATAAACGGTACCATTCATAGAGATTGTAGGAGGATAGTAGGCTATTAATACAAAGAAGTCAAATAATAATGAATACCTCTATTAGTATACCATATAACAATCACAATCGTAATTTTAAATTTTGTACAGTTATATATATTATTCGGTTACTCATGAATGAGCCTACGTGTGTCAATATTGTATTTAGCACACACACACACACACACACACACACACACACACACACACACACACACACACACACACACACACACACACACACACACACACACACACACACACACACACACACACACACACACACACACACACACACACACACACACACACACACACACACACACACACACACACACACACACACACACACACACACACACACACACACATACTCACTCATATACACACCCACACACACCCACACACACCCACACACACACACACACACACACACACACACACACACACACACACACACACACACACACACACACACACACACACACACACACACACACACACACACACACACACACACACACACACACACACACACACACACACACACACACACACACACACACACACACACACACACACACACACACACACACACACACACACATACTCACTCACATACACACTCACACTCAGACCACACACATACTCACAGACACCCACACGTACACACACACACACACACACATGCATACATACATACATACAACACGCCTAACTCTTTTCCTCGTCACAGTTCCTGGCAGATCCTGCGTACGAAGGCTCCATTTAGCAGGCAGGATCAATTTGCCGGCTTGGTGTTAGCGACCACCTTTGCTGGCAGAAACTGATAAATTATACTGTTGTAAACGTGTGCGCGTGGGTAGAAAGTAGTGGTACATTGAGTGTGCTACTTCTTTTTCCGCTTATCCTAATTTTTTGCCTATAGAACTAGAGAAACAGCAGCAACACGGCAAAAAAAAAAAACGGTCATTTAGTGACGTTACTAACTTAAGTACCTGTGACAGCTAAAGGACCGCAAACGTAAATCGAGCGTAGAACCGAAATACGTCTAACCTTTAAAAAGCAATAAGTAAGTGTTCTTACTAAGTACGTAAAGGAGAGCAGATAGCAAATAGTGAGAGCTAGCTAAAATAAATGAATCTTGTTTAGATTCATAAAGGAGCAAAGTGCAAAGTAGCTTTATAAGGAGTCAACTTCAGCGGACAAAAGCAAATAAAAATAGCACTTGATGCTGTTAGTTGATGAACGCATTCTAATTTCAGCCGCTCAAAACTGCTACAGTATAAGGCCAGTAGTCGTATCAAAGCATACTTGAGCTAGACTGTTTAGCTAACCGTTCGAAACTATTTCGCGAGTAATTGTTGAATTACCTTATGATACAGACTAACGTATTATAACTAGGTAGAATGCACAACATCACAAGCAGGTCAGAAAATACGTTCATCGTCAGCGCAACAAAATACCTAAGTTGAGAACGTACTCAAGGCGTTTTCGACTACTACATCAAGTTTTTTTTTTTTTTTTTTTTTTTTTTTATAATACGTAATGACGTAACACAATAGCCGTTATTTGTTGTGAAGGGCTTGAAGGCCCAACCCGATTTGATCTGTACATATTTATTTGCATGCAGCCAGTAGAATATCAGAAAATGACGAATTAATTTAAATATAGAATTGAAATCGAATACAGACAAGTCACCGGTACTGGGTAGAGGAAGTCGTCTACATGCCCGTAAAGGAAGACAGGCTATTAAACAATAACAATAATAACAAAAGAAGAAGATCAGAATTAACTGATTATAAACTATTCTAAACAGCTGAACTCAAAAACTTTGATTTGAGCGATGATCTGAGGTTTCCTAGTAACTGTCGCTGCCATTGTAACTTGTCATAGCATCGAGGACTGTCGCCTAACAAGAGCTACTTTTTTCGCCGAGAACTTCGAAAATCACATCAGTGGTATATTGTAGTATAGGAGCGATATTTCCTCAATTAGTTTGTCTGCTGCTGTTTTCTCATTGCATTTATGATTATCACCGATTACAAATAGGTGGCTCGATTGTGATTTCTACGAAACATGTGTATAAAATACTGGAGTTCTTGTATTTCGATTTGATACGATGGACAATGAGAAGTGAAAGAAGATTGTCAAATTTGCTTCGTTCTAATGGCGTGTTTGTGCTCGTAAGGAAATGAATGATACGCAAAGCCTGTGCTGGTTGTTGAATCACATATTCGGGAAAAAAAAAAAAACAGACTTTATAGAGATACACAGTGAAATAACTATACAAGTTATGCCACTTTCCAGCATGTTATATCCTATTTGTATGGATATTCTAGTAGGAGTTGAACAACCGTCAATGGGGATTATAGAAGCGTGCTTGATTTAGGTAAAGTTGCTTTGGCTCTAAAAACGGAAGTTGTCGATCGCAATACGAACGGACTTTTCACAAGGCCTCAGTTGTTTATCGTAGAGTCGCATAAATAAACAAAAACATTGAATATATCGCAGTAAAAGCATTCAAATCGTGCGGTATTAAAGTCACTCGGCCTTTGTGACTTGAATATGAATTTCCTTAGAATACTGACTAAACCGAGATAAGTACACGGAATAATGCGGACAAGGTAAAATCTTGCTTGCGTCTTAGCCCGACTTATAGCGCGGCCGTTTTTGACACAGCGATGATTGATTTCTGTTATTACGAACTAAAGAACCCAGTTGATTGCTATGAGAAGACTTTTTTGCGAGATCGAGGATTGTCAAAACAAAGTTAGTTAGTTAGTTAGTTTGTTAAAGGCTTTGAGCGTGGCGCTCCTGCACAGTCCTCCACGTCCAGACTTAATAAAGAAAATCGAGTGCTATAGGAGGTTTCTGATACAGATTAAAAATAGTATTCGTAATAGCTCCGTTGTCACTTTTTTTCCGGTCTCCGTTTGTTACGTAACGATCTTTGCTTTGTTTCTGCTTGTTTCCAAGCTATCCTGAATCTCTCAGCAATAATAGTAGGATGATGATGTTGATGTTGCTGCTGCTGATAATCATAAATATATTATTGATAATAATAAATGAATAGCTTCCTTTCTGCCCCCTCCGTTTTTTCTATTTCTCACGTTTGTCGTCAAAGTTATCTCGCGTCCACCACCAGCCACGTCATCATCACCATCATCATCGCCACGGTTGTAACCGTCTACGAAATGGTACTATCAGTCTTACGTTATGTTTCCATCCACAGCCAGATGATATTTCAACTGTCTTGTCGTCAGTTACCCATTTTCTTTTCCTCCTTTTACTACTTGTAACAACATAGTTTGTGTTTGTCGCTTCAGTATATAATATATCTATTCTCTACTGCTATCACAACGATAACATTCAAAATGTATATATAACTGCCGGCGTCGGATTAGCGGTCGGTCGGCCGGTCGGCCATTTCGCCAACAACTTTATCACCGCATCATCGTTTAGACAAACATCGTTCAGTCGCTTTAGTCTCAAGGACCAGCTGACTTTCAACTGCTAGTTATTACTTCATAATAATACTAATGCTACTACTATATAACAGTAGATATATCTATATAGCGCGTGACGCTTTCTAACACATTTCTACCCGTGGTGACCGCTAGCGCTGGGGTGATCGCCTGTCTTCATTTTGATGAGTCTGTATTCGGTCGAATCGAATTCAACTCAAATGATGTTGACTGATTAACCTCATCCTTGTTTGTTTTATCCTTCTTGATTACTTCTCTCAATATGTACTCCACCATTACTCGCAAGTTTTGTTCCGCATTTGACTGAATTCTGACAGTATCATTTTTTGTCCCTGTCATAACGGCTTACCCATAACCCAACTCTAATTGGCCACCCTCGGCATACTAGTTACCGGTGCGATATCCACGGATTCATCCCGACGATCACTGTACCCATAAGCATCTTGATTATTATCATTCAAACCATTATCATCCCAGAACATCCCTCTTATTGTTATATCGATTTAATTGGCTATCCGGTGTTGTTTTTCATTATGCTGATATCTGTAGGGCTTTTGCTGGTATCGGCTGTTGCAGATGTTTTTTTCAACTGATTGAATAAATGAACGAATGATTGATTGATGACTAGATGAGTAGGATCGTCTGCTGCTCTCGACGTGACCTGCTCATGTGGTAGAAACCGCGTCGAAGTAGTGCTTCGATTACCGCATTTATTTTCTTTGCTGGCCATTTTCCACACTGCCGTACTGTTCCGCGCATCACATACCCTACCGTTTCCCAAATTAGCCTTGCCCATAATAACTTCCAACGAGAACAGCGCGGGCTACTGGCGTATTGTCATTGCTGATCGTCTTTCTCCCGGCTGGCGCCTACGGAAATCAACTAGCCAATTTTCATTATATATATATATATATTAGTCATGTCTTTTTTAGCTCATACCTTTTGTGCTGGTTGATATTGTTGCTCTTAGCGTTGTTCGTTGTTGTTAAAGACAACTATTACTGTGTTGTTGGAATCGTTTTTAAGTGACTGAAATGGGGTGTTATTTCTCCTTTTATCGAAGTGTGTGAGTGACCATGTGACGCCACCTTCGGCCTCCTTTCCCGTATCCATACCATCAACATCACCACATCGTATTCTAAACATCAACGAAATTCAAATACGCGCATAGGTATCAGTCATTTTATAGTTATATAATAATAATAGTTTTACACGAATAATATAAATAATAATAGTTATCGTTAGTATCAAGTAATAACGGCTGAAGTACGGTGTGATTGTGGAGCTGCTGCTGCACCTTAACAACTACTGCAACACTGCGCCGTGCAGTAAACGGTGTCTTTCCTCGTTTTATTTTTTGTCACATCACGAGCCGGAGGCTAACGTACCCACAGTATGTCCTGGCCGACGCGTAAATCTTAGTAAAGTAGTTATCACGCCCGAAATTGCCATGCAACACCAGCAGCTCATCTCTCAGTCCCGACATTGCGGTGCTCGCGTTATCAGAATAGCGGAAACCATTATCCATAAGGGCTTGCTTGGCTTTTTGAAGAGTTTCCGCTGCTGACGATGCTCTAGAAGAATCCCCACGCTTCAAGTGACTTGATGACGAAATCGTTGGTTTTTGAGAGCACTTCATTGCTGAAGGTTTTGCACGGTGCTGAACGGCCATAGTAAAGATCTCCATCAAGGTACAGACCGAACTCACCGTCGCCAGAACCAAACACTAGTGAGTCCTGGTTCCCCTTAATAAAATACTGGTTGTCGCCGGACCACGCGTACTTAGTAAACTCAGGCTGGAACGACCAAAGAAACATTTCGCCCGTCCCATAGAAATGATCGCTAGGATGAATACTCTGTGGTACAAAGGCACCGAACAAGGCGCCTTCGGTGTCGGTAATAGCCAGTAAGACGGGTCCATCATGACGTGCCATTTCCCGGTAGAAAGTCTTTAGGCTAAACCCGTGCCGCGTAGTTGAATATACCAGCCTCCAGGCATAGCCTTCAGCGCGAGCCGGAATTTCTTTGTACAACATCTTACGGTGCTCCTCTTCAAGAATCTCGGATTCTCCAACCATCTCGGGCAGCAGAACCTCGTCAGGTGTGAGTGGGTTGAGCAGCTTTGAACACGTGTTGGACGGTGTTTGATTGGAATCGTCTTTAAGTGCAATGACTTCCCACTCACAGGAGGAAAATGACGTGTGCGGCGTGTTAGGACCTTCAAAAAATCGGGGTAATTTAAATGGATTCTTAAATGAACCAACCCGATTGAGAACTCCGGTGAGTGCGCCATCAACGGCGCTTTTCGGCGTGTCAGGCGCCTTCGAGTCGTCGCCCTGTGTGCCATCATCTTTACCCTGATAACCTTGTCGATTTCCTCCGGATCCATCTGGATCGTCCGATTCATCATCGGACTCAATATCTTCGAAACCTCGCTCCTTCAGGTCGAGCTCAATGACATCCCCATACTTTTCCGGATAGTTGCGCTGGAAGAATTTGTACACTTCATCGATCTGATTCCGTGGAATGCCAAACCAGTATTCGCATTTGAGCTTTCGGCGGCCGACCGCGACGGCTGACATCTTGACTACTTTGTTGAGGGGCTTCCCCATTCGGAGACAGAGATACAACATGCCATTGTCTTGAGGCTGGGCTGGCTTCGGTAACAACTTCTCAAGAGCGGCAAAAACTTCCGGTTCCTCAATGTCTCGCACAGAATCAGTCAGTATTGTCTCTGCTCGATCGCCTTCTGAGCGACGTCCGCCAACAATCGGACTTGATGGTGGCGTTTTCGTAGGTCGAGGCGATACAGGTTCCGAGCCAGAATCGGATGATCTTTCATCGCGTTTCGTGCATTCAGCAGCCAATCTGTTTGGGCTGCTTGGTGGTGTTGAAGGTTTTGGCTCGTTTTCCAAATAATACACTTGCACTGGAATATTACAAACAACTCCCTGTTGTTGCTGTTTATATGGCTGCTGTTGATGATGCTTCGTTCGCATGATCGCAATATCAGTGTATAGAGCAGCGCCCGCAATCATGTCAATCGGAGCAGTCACTTCGTAATGTTCAATGCCATGCTCGATCACGATTAAATCCGACACATTCGGACTGAACATGATATTGTTTGGCGTGATGAGTAGCGTTCCTGTCACAACGCCCTGACCGTCAGTTATGTGACGCGCGTTGATTTTCAGCACGTGCGATGGACGGGCGCGTATTGCTACCGCGCCACCAGTAGTCGTTGGCCCAACAGAGCCGCTTTTACCACTACTACCGCCAGCACCCCCAGATGACGCGACCGCTAATCCGACGCCGCCGCCGGCCCCGCCGCCGCCGCTGCCGTCTAATCGTGGAGGCATCATAAGATTTGATAGAATGTCGTTGCTCATGTTATTTGGTTGCGCCGCTGAACCCTGGCCACTTAGCACCTGGGTGGCGTCCACCGAAACTGAGTGCTGCTGCTGCAGCTGATCAGACCCTTCAACTACGGCTTCCGTAGCGAAATCTGATCCTGCTGTTGACTTTACATCAGGGGTATCAGGAAATATAGATACACCACGGCTAGGTGATGCTGGAGCACCCGTTGCGCATGAAGTGCTATCATGCGCTTTGCGTTTTTTAACAGGTATAGAAAGCTTTCTTCCTGGGAAGAGCATGCTGTTCGTAGGAATGCGATTGAGTCGCGCAAGCTCTGAGGGCGTAAGGTCGAACTTGGCCGCGATGGCATTCATTGTCTCACCCGATTGAACCACGTAGCAGATCTTCTCTTCGCTGCTCGCATCGCCCTGGCTCGCGTTGAGGGAGGCATTGCCCGTGGCTTGCGCTGGCGATGGGCTGTTAGCCGTAGCCTGTGAAATCTCGGCGGGTTCGGGCATCCCTAGGGGCATGCCGCGCTGCTCACATAGAGACACCTCTGAACTCCGGACACTACCCCCGTTGACGACAATCTCGACACTTCACTCGCCACTAGCACGCGGCCCACTGGCAAGCAGGCAGATAGATCGACAGTGCGACACTCTCTCGTCAGACACTTTTCCGGACACAATCACAACTACTCACTGGTGCTCCAATTATTCTATCTCACAGCGCCAATGATGATTTCTAACTGTTTGTTGTTGCCATTTTTAGTTCTCTCCTGGCAGCTGATTTCGGCAGCGTAGGTTTACTGGCCGCCTGCACCCGGAACTGGTAGCAACGAAAAACTCCGCGCAGGCTGGTTCGCTTTTCAAAGTCAATTGTGACTCCGAACTTGTTCAAATAAGCATTACATAAGTCAACATACTGTTTGATAAATTAATGAACACGTAACAATAAAACCAAATATTAACAGAAGTAAATATATCAAATACTTGCAAAAGGTTTTACGAAGTCATTTAGTAGACTGGGTCTATTCAGAAATGTAATCAACTTCAAATTACAGCATTTTATCCGTCCAATCAATGTGGCCAATAACTGGCTATTTATCCATGATGAATCAACAACCAGCGTACCATGCTAGTGTTTACCACGTCGCCGGGAAGCACTTCCGGGTGCACATGTGCAGCCGCAACAGCAACACCACCTAGCGAGCTCTTTTTTTTCCTCTCCCGTTTTTTCGCTCCGCTGTTGGAGGAGGCGCGCATTGAAGTTTCTTTGAATAAATGCAAGCGATGAGCCGTGATGGACTGAGCAGCGTCTCCACACTGCGCTGCAATATTCTAAGCTAATTTTGCTTCTTAACCAACCAACCAGTCATCCCTCTGACTGTCCGACTAATTCTGGTTGCCTTAGCTTAAATGAACGTAAACTACACGTCGTACATCCTTCCCCTTCGAAAATCAGCGGCGCCAACGATAGCACCATACGACCGACGCACACGACAGTAACCCCACCAGTGACATCGCTGTTTCGTCTCTGCTTGTCCAGCCTTTTTTCCCGGAGAAGCTGCTTCCAGGAGATCGGCGGCGTCTGCTTTTCACTGCTGGAATGAAGCAGCAGCACGCTTTAACTGAGCGCTGGCAGCTGGGCGATATTAAAAAAGAAAAAAACAATAATCTATTTCCTTGAGTTTTTGGGAAAGTATCCCCATTTTTATTGTCAATATGGATTAGGAATTTAATATATAATAATAATATATAATAATAACAGAGCCATTCAAAACAGGCTATTCACAGGTAAGTCTCCATATGTAAGAAGAATGACAAAAAAAATATCCATGTCAAACGTTATTATATATACAAACTTTAAATGAATGTATATATATATATATATATATGTATGTATGTACGCAGTTGAAACAACTTTTTGTGCATCTACGACTCTTTCAATGGACATGATAATTACGAGTAACGGTTTTTATGTGTGTATATGCGTTCTTGGTATATTTTTTTCTCTTAAATGTATTTTTCAATGATTTCTACCCTCACAGAGTGTGTGTGTATATGGTTTATTGCGACTGCATACAGCCATCTAAGGGTAACGAGGAAACATTCGTTATTATTTTTTTCCCTTTTTCAGGCAATAATCGCAGGTATCGATGTTGTGGTATTTGTTTGAACGTTTTCATTAGATTGACTGGTTAGTTCAACAGGACCGCCCGACGTTTGCTCGCTCTCGGTTCGACATGAAGCACCGCTGTGAGACGTCGGCGCTGTTCCCTTTCTCTCTTCCCTTAACGCTTATTGATGCATCGGCTCAGCGATCGGATCGAATCGTTGGCTCTCAGCTACGAAGGGCTGAGGGGCAAGGTCACGCGACTGGACAAGGATCACGAAAAGAAATACTACATGTTCTCGCCGCCAGTAGCAAAATCGATCTATGTGTTTCTACTAGTCGGAAATAGCGTTTGTTTCAGAGACGGCCGCTACTGTATCTGATGGGAGAAACATCGCTTTTCCGAGCATTATTGTTTGTCCAGTCAGTGCGGCGTCGTTTTAAAAGAGGAAAGGGCGCAGTATGGTGATCCCGTGTAGAGAAAAGCTCAATGGCGACTTATGGCTTCTCCTGCAAAAAAAGAGATCTAGCTACTTCTAGTGATGTATGTTTGCGCTTGCGCAAAAGGCCAATGGTATAGAAGTGATGAAAGGGAGGTACGGATGAGAGCACTTCAGCTGCTAGTGTGGGGGGCAGAAAAGCCATAAAAGCCATACTGAACCTCACCACCCTCGACCACTTTCTAACACCTTCTCTTCTCTAGTGACTTCGGTTCTATAAAAACAGAAAGGAAAAAAAGACGGAAGTACGGCACTCAAATAGGCAGGTAGAAACAAACCCTTTCTAGTTGTTCTGCTGCTGTTGCTTTGAGCAACCACTGATGAGTACTACAGCTGTAAAAAGAGTCACCAGATGAGAGGAGGGAGTTACAAAGTGGGCGGCGGTGAGATTCAATTTGGCTGTAACTGCCCCATTTCTCCTCCCCAGCAGCAGTAGTCAAAACGCGTCTGTTCGTAGCTGCCGTTCGTCGCCTTTATACCATAGATTTCTTGTCTGTCAGTCTATTATGTCTTCTTCAGTAAGGTGGTCAGCACACAGGAAACCTAAATAGATTACGTGTTTAATCCTTCATTTTGGAGTTGCGAGTAGGCCTTCTTCCATTTGTCTCGATCGTAATAATTGGTCGAATTAACTGCTCCATTCGAGCTGAGTAATAGTGTTATAACAGTTTTGACCTTCTCTTATGATATATATAACAATTCTTTCATATAATATTGACTTTCTGCATTATGTTGACCCGAAGTTACGATATCCTTGAGGGCAGAGGAGTCATAAAGCGGCGTGTCTAAATTAAGAATTATTTTTCTACCCTTTCTAAGACAGTATCAAAGAAAAAAGAACAGATATTCCAACGAATTTTTTTGCATGCGCTAGAAGTGTCATTTCTGATGATTACTGCGATTAAAACTTCGGCTAAGGACAAACTAATCATTTCAAAGTATTCTTTCTTTGACCCGCGAATAACGTCATAGTAGTAAACGTACGCTGAACGTCATCGAGGGGTGTCAGCTTGGTACAGTGTCGCTCAAAGACGCTACATACTTAAAATTACAACGTAATTCATTTTCGGATGAACTTAAAACCGCCAAAAGGTCAAAAGATGCAATAAGTCTCAAAAATACTAAATGTTAAAGCTTATGTAGACGATGCGATTGGCGACTGACAATCACCTTTCTTAAATGGCCGTTAATTTCTGGTAACTTATAATTAATTTCTTATAACCTTGATATATTAAACATAACTATGGACTTCGTTGATAAATCTTCCAACCATTTGAATATAAACTTTATTGAGTATTTTACAGTTCATATCGTGAAGGTTTTTTGGAATTTATCAGAAGTCGCATGAGAGGTGCCCATAACGCAACCTGTCGGTTTCAGGCAAAAATTAAGTTTCTTTCCGGTTAGCGCGGAACGATTAAATAATAGCTGAACATCATCCAAATTTCCAACAGGACGCACTGTTGTTTACCATGACGAGTTTGTTGTTTTGTTCTAATTGCCTCTTGGCGGCTATTACGAGTAGCGGATGAACGCATGCCCGTTACGACGAACGGCCTCCAAATCCTTCCCAATTTTTTACCCACTACCTTATGCACCGCTAGAATCAGGCAGGAGAACTCTCTACATACAAACAGACACAGCGAAGGCGCAAGAGAGCGAGATGAAAACGGGGGCTGGTGGCAAACAGGTCGGGAAAATTGGCCGTGGGAGCGAACGCGACGCGTTGCGAACACTGCGCGCTGCACGTACGGGGAACTATTCCGGTCTGTCTTTCTTCCTTCAAGTCAGAATTACCACTGCTGCTGGTTACTGGCGCTTGTAGTTAGTCGGTTGTGGCATGGCTGTGGATCGGGCTAAGGCGCAAGCCGATCAGTTAGGCACCACTGCCATACAGGAGATTGTTTCTGACGCAGCAGCTGGGCGGCGATGAAGACTGGCAGGCCCCATCAGGTGTGTTGTTGCCACCTGTCTATGTACCCAAGCGTTTAGATCAGCAACTATTAAGGAATGACAGCGAGCTAGGCAAATGATGATTTCGAGGCTCCTGCACGGAGCCCGCGTGTGATCTGAAGCAAAATGTCTGAGGGCGGCTTAATGAAGTGGTGGTAGTCGTCGTTTATGTATGTGGTACATGAAATTCATATATAACAGCAGCTTCTGACGGTGCGTATGCTTCGCAGGCTGCTTCCCAGCAGCTGCTTCATTCATGTTCAAACTTGCACAGATCAGAAACCCCCCTGCTGACTTCTTGAATATACATAAGGCTTAACTCTTATAAATAAGGAAACGAGGTGCGATATAATATATCGTTTAACTTCTACGGCCAATAGTCTATGATTTAATCTAGACTTGCTACGCAATAATCTCGTCGCACGGTATTACAAGTCGTTCGCAAATTCTGCCAGAATGATTGATTCGATTTCTTGAGGCTCTGTAGATAAAGCACTAGAAATGAGGTGCGAACCGTTCTATATGGACCGTTATTAACTTCATTGCCCCATCGGTTTTCTTACTTAAGAAGATTTTCCGCAAGCAATATGCTTTATCATTTATCTCTTAACGTATAACAACATGTACTGTGTGTAGTATCGTGGGTTATCAATTTACGAGATGACAGAGGCTTGATGGAATTCTAGACGCGAACTAGGCTAACGGTTATTGGCTGAATTGTCAATGAATGCTCAGACACGCTAAGGCTCACGGACCCTTTAGATACAGGCCCGAACGCTATAGTATAATGCTTGCTTGTCATTTTATGGAAGTGTCTTCAGAAGTGAACCGTCGCGAGCCGACGGCCAGCCCACATTGCTTTGCTGGGGTTAACGAGCTGGGATTATTGTTTGTAACGGATAGAGGTAGAATTAGTTGAGTCGCTCAGTGTGAGCACCACTGCAGTAGTACAATATGGAGCGCGCTAGATAGTCAGCGGTCACGATCCTTATGCGAACACATATATAGCCATATACGAGTGTCAAATGCAATTATAAATCATCTGGCCCTTAATTACAGCACTGTATTGTATCCAGTTGTTTGCTTTACAAAAATGTATTGGTGTGTATATGTAATTTCATAACGGTACCCACAGGACATTGTCCGGATGTATAAGGACTCTGATATAGGTCCACGTGGAAAATTCGCAACGCCCACTTTACTCAGATCCGATATGCGTAAATGGTGCTCTGTGAAATCTCTATTCAAACATCAATTTTGTATTCATCTTGAGAATATACATGTTTATCTATGCAGAAATTTGTGAAAACGTCTGTCTATATGGACGATATTTCTATTTCTTACATTTTTTAGTTAAAATCTAGAAGGTTGATATTGAATCCTGGTGGTAATGGAGTAAGGATATTATATGATCTACACATATCATATATTTGTGGACCAAACGCCAGATAGCGGCTATAAATATTAATCAAACTCTTATATTTAGGGAATCACCAGTTGTTTACAGAGCAAGCATTGGACGCAGGCTACCTAGTCCGAAAGGATGAAACCCTGCTTATGAGCAAAAGCATTCTATAAATTTATTTATATTTATTAGTTTGTTTTTAGTATACTCATTTAATTGTTTGTTGTTGTTGTCGTCGTTTGTTGTTGCCGTCGTTATTATCTGTTGCTGTCGTTGTTACCTAACGAATCGATGAATAGTCGGGATGCAACAACAATTAGTGACGATTCTACTTCGTGTAACATGGTGCCTCTTCTCGCAGCAGAGGTTTTCTTAGTGATGCATAAGGCCCACAACAATAAACAGTGGCATTGTGCATATACTAGTGACAAAATTACTACTATATACTATAAGGTAGACTCGATCAGTTCTTTTACGTCTATTGATGACACAGCAGAAGAGGTAAATGATCACTCGCTGTAAAATATGGACATTGCCCTACTTGACGTTCAAGTAGTTCAGGGCCATTTGTAATGGAGGCGACTGAACTTCAAATGTTAAGAGCTAACCGATTTATCGCATATACGGTCTAGAATCCCTCGACAAAAACCGAGTGACTGAGTCCATGAAGGGTACTGTATGCAAAGTCTGCCCTACTCATAATTCGTAAGGCGCTTATTATCTACTTGATCGAAACGCTTGACTATGTACGTTTCGACTTCGATGGGAAGGAAACTTGCTAATATTGACCACTTAGTGAATCAGTACAATAGATCAGAGATCGAATAATGATAATAACAAGCACGGCATCAGACTTGAAGCCAGACACTAAACGACCCATTATCTCACAATGGTGAGGATAAAGACAATGATATTGGTAATATTGTTCGTTTAAATATGATTTAGAAAAAAAAGACGCGCATTCTTAATGAAAGGGTAATACTTCGCTAGCATCTATTCCTTTAGCAACAAGAATATTGTAAATATATATATTTTTTTCACTGTTGTTTGTTCGTATTGGAACCCGTGCTGATAGACGCTATTTTTCCAATTCTATTTGCTGAGCTCACATCAATGGCTTATCAAAGTACACAGACATCATAATTTAGCACATTCGCAGTTTCTGCTGTCCATTAGGTCACTAAACAACTAGCAGTAAAGGTCAAAGCAAATAATTGGATTCTCCTATAGATTCTCCTATAGGTGAGCCTATAGGATTAATTTCGATCGGGCCAATAGAAAAATCGACTTGAATAAATTGTGTTTAGGTCTAACATTGTTTTTTCAATTGTAGCTTGATTCTGAGGTTCACATGACCAAGTTTTTAATCCCAAACAACCCAGAGATAACCAGTCACTACACGTTTCATTTGGTTAAATCTGGCCCTTAACAGCAATCGCCGCAGTTTACTAACATATCGCTGCATTTACGAGATGGCTCGTTTTTAGCCATTAAATCGACTATACAAAGCAATTTTGTACCATAAGCGTTAAGAAAGGTCTGCTTCTGTTCACTAGTTGCTTACCCGTATACGTCCTGGGTATCTTGACTTCGTCCCTGGCCCTCAATCGGTTACGGCCCAAAAATGCATGTCTTCTTTTCTGATGACGGTCAATGCTGCGCTTAATCATTCGTTAGTGACCGAAAGGACTGCGTGAGCTCTACAACGACACTCTGCGGCTTCACGCAGCTGCTTACTTTTTTAACTCCCTTCAGTGCTCAGATGCACCTAGTGATAGCGTGGACCATATGGCAAATTCATTTGTGACCATATTGTATGGTTGGCGATGAGAATTATTAATAACAGTGTCTCGTTCTTTTTAGAACAAGAGTGTTAATGCCAATAACCAATGTCACCATACATTTTGTTTGTCTCGTTCATGCCCGCTTTTTCTTTGATTTTATATATATATACACAGCGCCAAAACACACTGCACGTACGTTCACAGAGCTTTCAGGTCGTTAGAATCCAACATGTCTATATGTGTATGTATAGAATAGTTGTATGTATGTATGTATGTGTGTCAGTATGCTAAAGCGATGATGGTATGAATCAGTGTTCAGAAACTGCGCCTCTATACTTGGTTATTTTTCTGCCAGCCTATCTTGTTTCTATTTGCTTTTGCGTCCGGAACAATTTATGCTGTTATTTTTCTGATACTGTTTACTCAGAAGAACAACTATAATGCTAGATAGCGCAGCAATAGACACAAGTCAGACTGTGCGCTTGGGGATATCAGAATTTGTTTGTCCATCGTGTTGTTGACCGGCTCTACGTAGTTGCTCTTTTGTGGCTGCTCATTTCATTTGCTTCGTCATGTGCTTCGTGGCAGCTTCTTTTTTGATTTATCTAATAGTAGAAGCACTTGTGTTATACTTCATGGCTATAAACTTCGTTTCGTACTGAGAGCCAGCCCTCTGAGAATACCTAACGGCGTAAACTCCAAAAAATTAGTATTTTGTAGCTGCCTGTGCTTTGGCACAAAACGACGTCTCATCGCCCACGAGTACGAAGAATGAAAAACAGGATAAAAAGGTTGCGTCATTTAGGCGCAGATCAGCAACAACCTCATTACCTCACAGTTTGCGGCGGATGACTTGTTCAAGCTCGAAATCCTACAGCTTCTTAATTCAATTAGTCACGCGCACAGCAGGGGTACCTCCGTCATTTCTATATGCGCACAACAACTTTGGTGCGCACGATTCGCTTGCAGAACACCCCTGGTCTGCTAAGCATGTCGTGACATAATAAATTAGCTGCTACCTATCTAGAATAGAGTAGATCTATAATCTCCCTTGACATATTTGCTAAGTCAGCACGTAGGCGTAACAGGCTATAGATGTTGGAAGAAGACACACGATCCGAGTTTGGCGATGCGCATATGGCAATAATGATTTTCATCTCGTTTGTTTTAAGATGATAGCCTCAAGATTGAAGCTGCTCACCCCCTGGCAAAACCTACATACAAACAAAGTCAATCAGGGCTGCTACTCCGTCACTGCTGTTGTCGCTTCAGTTTCTGGGGCAGTTAACCTTAGGGGTTCCTCGCTTTGCCCAGATCATGTCGCAAGTAGAAACACTGCACGAAAAATATCGATGGGGAGAAGGCAGTTGATCCGAAATGTCAACAAATGAGGAGGCACAAAAGTAACGTAGCGTCTACTGAATTTATAATCCATTCATCAATAGTCCGTTTCAACCATCAAATCAGCTATAATGAATATGTTCTTTCATTTCTTTGGTCGGCATCATCAGTATTAGTGTTGCTGCTGCTGCTGCTGCTGCTGTTGCCATAACTGTGTACCTACCTATGCAATCTCCGCATCCTCATGTACCCTAAAAATGCTATTAAGATAAGAATTTTACCAGCTGTTACCAGGGGTTGTCTCACTGGTAACAGATAGTCCTCAACAATAGTAATGAGGTTCATTCACCTCAACTCGAGCAAGATAAACGTTTAGCTTTGTCAATATGAAGTGTGATGCACTTTATAACTCATCTCGTACGTTGCCGGTTCATCACGCTGCGTCTCATACAAATATGCCCACAGAAAACACCAAAACAGTTCTTTTTTCGCAACCCGTGTCGATGACGACGACAGCAATAGCAACAAGCAAATATAAACCTCTAGGTATAAACGCTTTCCACTGTAACAATTTCAAATAAAAACCATTTTAATCAAATGACAAAGCAAAAACAGAATAGTCATAGCACAATCACAAAGGTTACTTTACACTTTTTCGACTGAGCCCACCACACATACATCCGCCCACATCTACTCCATCCGATTGCTACTGCGCGTCATACATCATCATAATTACCGACACCGCGGCCGCCATTACTTCACCTAGTTTTAAGACAAACCTAACACTATGTGGTAGAGCAAACCTAAGGTACATTCACTCCGTCGCTTAAAAAAATTCAAATCATCAAACACTCGTTGCTTAAATACAACATCAGCACTCATTTACTTTTCATTTAGATCAAATATAACCATGAGAATAGTTCCACTAGTTGTAAAAAGCGTTTGAATAAATAAAACGAGAACACATAAGTAGAGCAAACTACATCGTTGAAAATATTCTTATTTATCTCATAATACAGAAATGGTTACTGCAGATAATGACATCATAAAAAATGGTGCTTATATACTTTACGAATTATAGCTTCATCTTTGTATAATATCTAGAAATAAAAAGAACACTATCGAAACGTATATGAGTATATATAAGTTACGCTCATACAGCGAGTTGACTTTGGTACATTTTGTAAGTTTTTGCAGTTGCCACCTTCTGTTAAGCCACTCAAGACCAAGGTCCTGTATTTTGTTATCGTAAACACCATCCTAAGCACTTTTGCATGGTTCATGGTCAACGCAACAACAGTTTTTTTGCTGAATTTAACGAAACTACGACTTCTTAATGAGAATTAATTTTTCGTAAATATTGGGCTAAATGAAAGCGATACTACCATTAGCACGGATTAGTTACTAAATAAACATAACATTATATCCGCAAGCACAAAATTTGAGCAAAGGAAACTGACTCAAAAAATAAGTAATCGTTCTTATTTGTCATTTGTGCTCGCTGCTTACTTTTATCACTTCGACTATAAAAATGAGCGGCGGCGGCGGCGGCGGCGGCGGCGGCGAATGAAGTTTAAATGACCCTAGTTTACATTATGATGGTGATGATGACGATGATCATTATTAAAATTATTACCAAATTAACAACGAAACCTGAATTAACGTCGTCTGGCCTACCTCTCACTCTTTCGTTCTTTTTCTCTCTCTCGCGCGCGCGCGCGCGCGCGCGCGCCTGCTCCCGTTAGCCGTTTCTAATTACTACTATTATATTATTCTTTCGTTGCTCTCGCAGACGAATTTCTCACTTGTTTTCCTATGTTAAAATGTCATCATCCTGTCGCGTGCACTGCATTTCTTTTTCGATTTGTGTCTTTATGTTAGCTGATACTTTATTGACGTTCTCATTTATAGATAGGACAGATAAATAAGGAAATGTAAGAATTTTAGCAGAGCAACTATCTGTTATTATAATGCTGTGTTATCAATTACTATACACGAGCTGGAGCTTAAGACGACCAGTGTGGCTATTACTATTACTTCTTCTACATTATGCTGGAAGGAATTAGTTTTGTGTAGAAATTCACTCCCGTTTGAGAACCATTTGCGAATGATCTGGCTACTGTTGTTTACTTTCACACGATCGCAAACAGATACATAGCGCGTAATCTATTCAGACGCGGTCCGATTTTAGCTCAGCGGAGCGTCTCAGTTCAGTGAAAACCTCTGCCATTCGATTTTACTCCCTTTTTTGGGAAATCTTTCTTTGATGGCATTTGAACTGGCAGGGCCGCTGGTAAGAGCACCTAGCAACTGCGACTTCTATCGCTAAAAGCAACTTCTATCAATGTTACTAGTATTGCCCATTAGAATTAGTTCGGGTACATAACAGATTGAATGCCAAGGACGTAGTTCTTTCTTCCGAGTAAATTAAGGCGGTTGACTATCCGTTCGGGCTAATTGCGTCATAACAGTAGCTGTTTCGTTTTCACCATCGGTCTGCGTGATGATATATATGCGGTGTATGTGTTTATCAACTAGTGGGCGGCTGCTGATGCACGCCATGTTCATTGCTGCTGCTGCTGCTGCTCGAAGTGTGTCCGCTTAGCAGAAGGGTTCTTTCGTTTACATCGCGAGGCTCTAATGGTTCACGAGCTGTGCCTGAGCCTGGTGGAAGATACTGTTGTGGCTGTTGTCCAGATGAGGCCCTGCTGTTATTTGCAGATGAAGAAGTGACCGCCGATAGGCCGGGAAGGCCTGCGGGCGGCCTGGCTCCCTTACTACCGTTGCCGGTGCCCGTACTTAACGGTAGGCCTTGTCCTTTGGCTGCGGTACCGGCAGCACTGCCGACGACATCGATTATTACCGATTTATTCGATTCCGGAGATCTGTGACAAATTTAGTAACACATTTGATATGGAGCCGACAGAAACACAAACACGAGACTCACTTAATCATATACGCATTGCTTAGAGATTAATTACGATATGTGATTAGTGCATACGTAGTAAAACACTACTGAGTTTTCATGAGCTCTCAGTCGCTAATATCGCCAATCGGCGAAAAGAATCGATCTTTAAGGCCGGATTGCTATCACTAATGTATGCTCAGGTAAATGTATACGCTACTAGGCCACTCACAGAGAAATGGGCGAATAAAAGTGGTTTTCCGTCTAGTTTTCAAGAGGTTGCCAATCATAATAAGCTGTTTTGATACCTACTGAGCTTCTCGGATCTAGGTTCACGGTTTGCTTTAAATAAAGCGAACCGGACAAATTCGCATGTGCGGTACAATAGAAAAATGCCATTTACTAATTAGGTCTGTCCACAAGCGTACACATCTCGCGACTATTTACATTACTTTTTATGATCATATAAGTTGCAAAGTGGAACGTTTTCGTAATATCAGGTTTGTCTAGTGAACTTACAGACATGAGGTAATATCTAAGTTCAAAACTCGCAGCTGGTTTCGTGCAGTATGAAACTGTGTATGTAGGACAAGATGGCGCTACTGATATTCCGTTCGTCAATATTGTTGCTAATGTAGTTTGGATGAGTCGAGGTGGTAACGATGAACTTTTGGTCTACATAGCTGTGGCATAGCTTTACAGAGGTCTGCCTCAGAGGCTGTGTCGTCGACTAACTAGGTGGAAACGGAGAACAGAACAGAGCTGAGCTCGTTGAAATCAGTCGCCATAAAATGAGAATCGCATACGCACAGATACGTATAGGCTGAACGCACGATAATACGACTAGTCCCTATTGCTTGCTAAATAGTTTGCCAACGTATAACGACGGAAAAGTATATAAAGTACCTTATAACTTGTTGTTGGGTAGTGCTAGATGGCTGTACAGCCATAGTGGTGTGTAGTTCATGTAACGGTATCGAGGCGATCGAGGCATCGGAACTCCGTGTAAGCGGAGCTGCTAGCACTGGAGGTCCCGAAAAACTCGCTGAACTCAAACAAGGCGTGCCTATTACATGTGAATAATTGCACAAAAAAATGGCAAACATAAATAATTTGTTAGAACTAACATCCATCCTAAAACGATGTCATTTGTGTAACGCGTTAATTATAAACTAAAGTTAGTGGGCGTTGTCAATACGTTGTAGTTAGGTTAAGCTAGTCCACAACTGGCACTTCAGTCCGGATCAGACAACAGGCCATCAACAAAAGCATCTCCCTCCGAGTTCAATTATAATATAACAGAGCACAAGTTACGGGCACAGGCTGAAAGCAGTGTCACACTACTAGAAATACCATCATATGTCTGTTATGAACACGTTATATACTCAGCTAGACGTTGCTAGTTGCTAAAAAAAAAAGACGAACAAATCAATCAACCGTAATTATTTGCTTTTCGATAAAAAGTAAGAGCTGGATGACGGACTGACGTAATGATGCAGGCATCATACACAATACATTTACAGAGAAACAGATAGCATAGCCGTCTTCGTTTTGTTTGTTTACGCAGCCAACAATAGGGCAGTACGTACAGGTTGAAGGGCATTTTCTAACAGGTGTATTTCGGCATACGGACCTAAGAGATAAGAAAGTGGTGATATACGACAGTAAGCGTGGGTTACAACAGTGGTCTTCGAAGTAAAAGCATCGAGATATTTGTTCAACGACGACACTATCGCTCGCAGACAACACAGTAAACGTTGCACAGTCAGGCGTAGAAACGCACGCACGCACGCACACAAACGTATATATATATATATATATATATATATGGTCATGAACAGGTGCAAGCAAAGCTTATTATGCTTCGGCTGTGACACGATGTTGAGTGAACGGCACACGACAGTATAGGGGCATTTATCTCTTTGCAATGGAGGGACACAGTGGAGAGTCATCGGCAGAAAACGGTATCGTTTGTCTACACAAGTTTAATCAAATGATGCGGGTTGTGGTGTCAAAAATAGCATGGTTAATTTCTTTGCGTATCCTGATCACCCGACTGGTTGCATCACCCGAGACCTGCTAAAACTAAGGAGATAGGTAACAGCACACAGCTTGTCTAGGGACCTCCGAATCTTTAGCTCTGGCATGGCTGAAACATTGCATGCGGATACATTAATCACATGTATCTTAGTGGTACTTGATTAAAGGTGGCTGTGCCGCTTCAGCTAGACCTAGTCTGCCCTCTTGCCTGCTGTGTTGTTGTTGTTGTTGTTGTTGTTGCTGTTGCTGTTGTTGTTGTTGTTGTTGTTGTTGTTGTATGCGTGTTGTTGGGTGTGCTTTTGGGGAACGATGCCTCCGCTCATCTGCGTCATAACAGACGATGAGTGCCGCTTTGCTCCGAGTTGCTCCAGCCGCAACTCTCCTAGCCCTCCGTATGTGCTACTTCTGAATCCGAAATTAGCGGGGGGAGCATTAGCCGAGTATGCAGCAGCTAACAGGGGTGCTTTTTCACTCATGTCCTTGTCCTTGGCCGTGCCTTTGCCTGAATCACTATCTCTGTCCATGCAGCCACCACCTGGTGCACAATCGTACTTCTGCTGCTGTTGCTGATGGTGGCCAGTGCCATGATCATTATCTTCAGTCGACTTTTCGTGAAGTGCTTCCAAGTTCGAAGTTCGCGCCCTTGGCGATGTTGGGGGTGTAGCCGAAATGTGGCACTTACCGGCCCCTGAGGTCAATCCAGCCTTGGCGGTCGTCGCCGCTGGTGTCGTTGGTGTTGATGTGTTGTTGCCGCAGGTCAGCGATCCGTGTGCGGAAAACGCCTCGGCCGGTGCTGCTGTTGTCGTCGTGGCCGCCTGACCAACGTGTCCTACATTATGGTTCACGCTGGCCGTAGGACCACCGCCGCCTGTCGTATTCCGGTGGCGATTACTGGTGTTGAGAGCATTTAGCACGTTAGCCCACTCCGTCTCGAGGCTAGCAGCGGTTGATCGGTTAGACCGATCAAGTCGGGACGTCTTGTACGCGGCCGCATAGACGCTGCGGTGGACACGCATGTAAAGCACGTTCGTAACCGCCTCGACCGAATAGTCGGGCGTAAAGGCGCGTTCTGCTAAATGTATGCATTCACTCGCCGGCGACGCAAGTGACAACTGTGAGGCGCTGTTATCCGCTGTCCCCGGAAATTTGCCCTCTGAAGACCACAATAAATAAATTGCAGAGGTCGCAACGTTAGAAGGTACTAATAAATAGTCTATCATCCATGCACTCCTGCAAAATCAGTTACAAGTTCAAAACATTTAAAATATGTACGTATAATAGAGCATAGCATACATAAGCGCCGCTTGTTCTGTGTTATAGAAAACATAACAGTTGAAAAATGCACGTGAAGTTCTCCAAAGTAGGATGAAGGAAAAGTTAACAACCATTCATGGAAACATTATTAACTTATCGGAGTAATGTGTCGATATTGTCGATCGGATTACGACCTTTTTATTCCCCTACTGTACTTACCACCGGCCTGACCAGCTACAGGCAAAAGAAATATCGCAGGCACTCCAAAATAGGAAAACGGTCCTGCTTCGTGCTGAAGCTCCTCGTTAGCGCTTGTGTGGAGAGTCACTTTAGCGCGGCCTTCGAGTAGAAGAGCGAAATAATCGGTCGCTTTACCCGCCCGGTAGATAAACTTTCTCGAATCGTCCGCCAGCTCATCCGCTTTAATGTGGATGAAGATGTTCTGCACCATCAGACGCCGAAGGACATTTTCCGAGACATACTCTCGCTTAAACGGCTCAACAGCTATAATTGTACACAACGTTGGAAACATACGACTTGTTCATATAGGTGCAGCTTTTTCTTTATTTTAGCTACATGGACGTATGTGCTTAGCACATAGTTGCCGAACAGCGCACAACTTAAATTCAACGATGTCTGCTGCTGAAGTTATAGAAAGGCAGCTAATATCGAATTCGCTCGTTGACTTACCCGTTGAGAGAAACTGGAAGGTAGCAAGCGCTAGTGGAGCTGGAATAACACTTCTGGCGTTAATTTTCGCAAAGTCAGTAAAGTCCTGCTTGGAGAGTTGTACTTCTTTACGCTTCTTGCGTTCACGATTATCCGCTGCAAAACAGAATCAACAAACAAATCATATTCCTTTTGCATTAAACGATAGTAGTGATGATGGCAGGTACTGATGGATAGAATTGACGTTTTGCCATGAGTTCTGCTAATATATTTCTGCTAGGCCACTCGCATAACACTACCACATCGTTTACGTGAAAGAAGCCAACAAAAGTAAAACGACGCTAGTGCCGACAGTCTTACACTTCGTAAATAGCCCTGTTTCATTAGTCTGTATCAGGAGAATTAAGTAAACCGGAAAGGAGCTAAAACGGTAACGGAACAAGTTAGAGGGCATTGGCCTTCGCTTATTCTTGTTCGAAAGCCATTGCTTATACAATTATACGTATGACATACGAACAACATATAATTAGAGTCCTCTTCTTAAAATTTCAATGGAACTTCCTTTTTTTGGAACTCTATTTTGTGTAAAACTTTCATGGATGATTTAACTTTTTTAATGTTTTCTCTAAAGTACGTAGTGTTATATAGGTGTATATTTGTAGAATAACGAAAGAAATGTACGAAAGTGTACGAAAGCTCTCCTTTCAAACCACCAAACCGTGTAGCCTTTCAAAGATCGTGTGGGCGAAAACTTACTGAGAACATCGGTTTCATCGACGATCTCGATTTTTAGGATCTCCTCAATGACGTCCTCTAAGGTGACAATACCAACTACGGAATAAACGGGGTCGGCGCCCTCTCCCATACGGATAGATTGCACAATCGACATATGACTTTTGCCCTTCTTGAACTCGTCCAACAGCTCATCCAAGCACTGGTCCTCAAAGCAGTACGTGAGCGGGTGCTTATAAAAGTCACATACTGTCTTCAATGGGAATGCATCTCCCGGATCAATGAATGCTAGATCTGAAGCGTCAACCGTCGCAGAGTTAGTATGTTACCATGTTACCAAACCCGTATGGGCTTCGAGCCTAAGTCGTGATGATGATGATGATGATGATGATCAGCATGGCGCTGCAATTGCTGCCATCAGCAGTTAGCGATGATAGTTTACGTTTAGTTTGCCTTTACTATGTATTCATACTTTCCAACTTGTATTTCTGTTGACATGATTATTACGCGACGACATATTATAGGGTTATGTTCATGTACGGGACATCTGTGTTAGGCAATGAACGCCTGTAATAACAAACGCCTATTTCATCGAACCTAGGCATACTTTATTTGGTGCTTTACCTTTGATATTGAGCAAACCGACGATAGTATCTCGGTTGCCCTCGTAAATGGGTATACGGGTATAGCCTTGTCGGATGATGTTTGAGACGGTCTCGAAGTCGAGAACGGTGTTGTATGGCAGCATGAAGACGTCGTCGATACGCGTCATAATATGTCCCGCTTGTTTTGTTTTCAGCTCTAGCGCTCCCGAGATTATATTTACCTCTTCATTTGCCAGCTGTTATTTGCGAGTTGGTACAGATATCAATTGTAATTAACAACAATTTACTAAATAGGTATTATATGGATTTGCTAGCAATATTTGTAGTCATAGCGTAATAATAACCAGGATTCGAAGTTTTTTGAGTGAAAATAAAGTTTGGATTATTTTTTATTTATTCTGGGCGCCAAAACAGTAGAAATCGTATCTCAGTTGCCTACCTGTGTGTAATCCATTGTAAGTTTGATGTACTGGATGAGTTTTTCTCGATCGTAAACATGGCCAATTTCCTCACCGAGTACATAATCTAATGCTCGTGAGATGGGGTATGACGCAAGAAATGTCAGTACCATGAAGATTTTCGTAATAATAAGAGTGCGTGCTCCAACTTCAAGGCCATGGCGGGAACAGATCGCCTGCGGAATGATTTCTCCAAAAACGACGATAGCCATCGTCGAGCCCAAGATTGCGATCAAGCCTATTTCAGAGTATTAGAACATGAATAAAACAAAATATGAGTACGTAAAATGGCTGTTTTGTAGCACAGAGCGGACAATTCGTTACTTAAAATTGGACAACTCAATGTACGCTACCTCAGTGATCTTTTGTTGCTTCTCGTTATCGCGTATGGATACGTTGAACTAAGTTTTAAGTGAAACCTTTGTCAATCACATGTGTTCAGAAGGACCAAATGCGGGTACGCCTGCTTTAGCTAGTTAGCTAGCTAGTTGCGTTCAAAACGTATGATTTCAACGCAATGCTTTCATTACTAAAAGTTGGAATACTTTATTTCTCGGCTGTCACGTACATAAAAGCTAGAATGCTTATACCTATATATGTACTTACCATAATATTTTAACAATATTATGGTAAGTACATATATAGGTTAATCGTACGTACCTGAAGTAAGGTCATCTAACAGGATTGTCAGCGTACTGTTAACAAGAACGTTTCCAAGTAGTAACGAGCAAAGTAGATAATTTCCGTTCTTGCGTAATGGGGCAATCGCCTTTGCGCACTTCTGTTCTGATGGGGTGCCACAAGACTCAATGACCTGTCGAAAAAATACGGATAATAATTCAGGACGATAGCATGACGACAAATGGTCGACAGATTGAACACAGTTAGCATTGACACCCGGTTTCGTAGTGGCTTTCGTTGTCGTCAACACTCGTCACTGTGTGTATTGAACAATCGATGGTAACGCATTGTATCATCGGTTATGACACGCGCGCGCATTGATGTCGCTCAGTATTACCTTTACTCGAACTGCTGTTGCTGCTTCGCAAGCACACGCACCACAAGCTACTACTACCTGTTCGGAAATTTTTTTTTGCTATTTTAATAATGTTTTTTCTAAGACAATAATTTTTCAAGAAAGATTTTCCCTTGCCAGGCCCACCCTAATTGACCACCGAAAGTGGTCAATCGATTCTAGTGTTTCGCAGTCCGTTGGCAAAGAAAGTGAAGATCTGTGCCTGTATGAGATCGTGTCCTTTTACGTGAAGTATAGGCTTTACTAAGGTGATTTTAATTAAGTGATAATCACTTGACGAACATAGATTTTTTCAATATTCCCGTATGACAAAAGTAATTCAAGGCTTTTCATTGGGGTCGGTCATCTAGGGACATCTGCGTTGGGCTGAAATTCTGCTCTTCGATTCGATACCATCCAAACGAAAATAATACTAAAACAGTTCTAAAATGTCAAGGCATGTGGTTTCGATACAATTCGACGTCTAGGCAAGATTCGAAATTAAGTATAGTTTTTAGCTAGAACAAGTGTTTGAGGTATTTACCGTTTACAGCACAAGCTTGACAGCGGCAAGAAAAACACATTTTTTTTGTAAAGATTTTTAAGTGTAAATTTTCGATCGGATCTACCAAACAGGGTTTTGCGTTGAGTGTTTGAAAGTACGTTAACTGATTCAGGAAGACGTTGTTTGATTACGCCGATAATTCGAGGATTTTTTTGCTAAAAAAAACAAAAAACTTCTATTTTTTGAATTGCTCTCAATAATAATTTCGTCTACTGCGACAGCCTTCACTTTTCTTAGAAACGTTTTAAAGGGGTGAGTCATGAACAAAGGTCGCTACTTAAGGCGATTGTTGTGATATTAGTACATACATAGGCTAACTGAAAAATTAGCCGCTCGCCTGATCTGTTTCAGTATTTCGCCTCTTTACTGCAGCCCTGTCAGGGTACGGATAGTCCTAAGCGACAGAATAGGCCTCCAAATGATCCAGCTATAGAGATTTTTTAGTAATTTTATGATCAGCTGCAGAATCAGTTGGGACTATTTCGAAATATTCAGTGTTTGAGTTATTACTTCAAGTTTATAAGGCACTGCACGAAAAAAGCAGACCCTATATCCATATGTTCATACTTTCTTATATGCAGTGTATTTCTCATACATCAATCACATATTCTCTTAACTGGTATTGACTATCGGAAAGGTAGAGAGAGACCGTTTTTCTAGCTAGATGGTTTTAAAGGCACCCATTACCAGGCGGTGTGAGTCGCGTCAGATCGGTGTTATTCGGTCGGTGTCGAAAAGTTATGAAAAGTTTGGCTGTAGCAAAAACTATTGAGACGCCTTTATTCAGACAAGATAGAACCGCTTGAATATCCGTAAAATTTCTTCTAAATATTTGATATATTTTTTGTTTATTAATTTGTTACGACAAAGGCAGAAACTCTGTCCAGGTTTATAAAAAAGTTGTGCCGTTTATAGTCAACATCGACTAGCGGAGGAAACGGCCTAAAGATAACTCTGTCGCTTTTGTTCTGGAAATTTCGATGGAAAAGATGCCTCTTGTAGCGGTCAACAAATCACGGAAAAACTAGATGAAATTATTGTGAGAGATAAGAAAGACCGATCCGTGACTGACCATAACATCGGCAAGGAACAATCATCATTAAACCACATAAAATAGAGAAAGCTAGTTTCAAAAAAGAGCTCGATGTTAAGGTATCGTACGAATTGATGCAAGAGAACTTGGTCGATCGTATTTTCATCGGCGTCACTCGACAGAAACGTAACGAAATCAACCTACTTCTAAAGCGGTTGATCACGGCCGATGAAGGGTGGGTCACGTGTAGTGTACATCGAAGAAAAAATACAACAAGTATGCTGTACAATCTGTAGCAAAGTCTAAACTGACATTAAAAAAGGTGATGCCATGTGTTTGTGAGATTGGAAACAAATCGTCCGTTGTGACTTATTGCTACATATAAAAATAACTAATCTGAGCCTCTACTGCCAGCAACTAATAAGACTGTAACAAGCTATTGACAACAATCTACCGGACCTAGTGAACAGAACAGGCGTCGTCTGCTACCTACGACTAATTATAGCTTTAGGTACCCGGTAAAAATTGAAAGGACTTCGATTGAAATCTTAATGTGTTCGCTGCATAGCCCAGATTTCACACCATCAGGCTATTATCTGTTTCGGTTTCAGCAAAAATATGCAAGCATCATTTGGCAAGATTTTTTGCCCTGAAGCCTATAGTGATGGGATTATGGTTTTAACAGAAAAATAACAGAAAATCACGATCAAAATAGCGCAGATTTAGTTTAGTGATATAATTTAGAAAAAAAAATAGTCTACAAAAATTAATGCTTTTTCTCCAAGCTAGTATTTAGCAAGTAATTTTCTCAAAATCTTAATTTTCAAGACTAAAGCGATACGTCGGCATCACATGGTGGTAAAGAAGAATAATTTCTTTAGTGAAATGGTGTATACATATAGTATAGCAAATAATAATAATAATAGGTTATGGAGTACGTTTATATGATGTACTCTGGATATGTGCATAAAAGTTCTCTTATGCCGAGTAAGACCGGACCAACGTGGATTGGATTACTCTGTGAGCTGTGCGGATGTACGAGGCCAAAGTCAAATGCACCATGCTCGTCTCATAAATCTTTTGTGGGCCAACACGGTCATCTTTCAGGCAGGTGGGCGAACTCGCCCACAGTGACACTATCCATCCCACAATACAGACCGGCGATTCACTACCGACCCACTTTTAGTAACGACAAGCTGCATTCGCAAAGAGGTAATTCAAAGAGGATAAAAATTAGTTGTGCTACGCAGCAGCATTATCGAACGCTTATCCAGCGCGCGAAAGACCACATGCCAACAAATTTGTGACTCTTTCGTTTTGTTAGGGACATCCCCGCAAAGATGGCTTGCGCATAGCCAAACCCAAAGATGCGATCTTTGCGAATCTGATTTATGGTACTAGTCTTGTTAACGCCTCAGCCAATACAGAGACACCCGCAGAAAGTATCGGCAACCAACACCTACGCCGGCCTGTTTTTAAAAACCAGAAAATGCATTTTCACGTCCAAGGAGACCATATATCTAAGCCAAAAAACCACGCCACAATGGATCTTCTCTGGAGCACCGACCGCAGCTGGGCCTATATTGGCTCTTGAGATCCAAGATAATAGAAGATCTCGAAACGACCTTACAGCCGGGAGCCAACGGAATCGGACTAAGGTATAAAATGCGTTGGAAGTATCCGTAGAATTTTGAGACCCCTGGAATGGCAAAAAGGTTTCTAGGCGTATTTTATTTCTACTTTAGCCTAGCCCAAAGGTTGATTTTTTTCCTAGAATCCGCTTATACAATTCGATCTGTTTCATTTAACGTTGAGTTACATAATTTAGCATCAGTTTCGCCAATGACTTCAGGAAGAGATCGTTTTCGACATTATTCCATAAACACTGTCCTTCACATACTCACATAGAAAAAATTCGCGAGGATCGAGACAATCACCTGATACCATCGCCGCGCAATGTGATCAGCCGACTTTTTTTATACTGCTTATTGTTTGTTTCCTGCAAATTGCTTTGTCTTTTTACCACCAAAGGATAGACAGGTAGAGCTTGCCATTGACTGTTCCCGCGATTTCATCGTAGAAGAAAAAGGGCCCAGTGATACGTTCACTCCACAACCCGCTTCACGTAACGATTCGAAATCGCTACTCGACACTCACCCTTGAATTCTTTGAGTCCAAGATATAACAGTTTCATCTATTCCCATAGCTAAAATGTAACTGAAAATGAACTTCATTAGAGGCGATGATTTGATCAACGAAATTGTTAGAACGAGCCTTGCGCTTCAATATGGGATTAGCAAACAAACGACGCCTTCGTGGCTTTACCTTATTTGAGAGCGAGTCAGTTTCTTGATTAATCACGCAACGTTTCCTGCTTCAACGAGAACTATCGTCGGTACATTTACGACATAAGCGACAATTATGAAACATTACCGTGATAAACTTTGCATTGCGACAGTAATTTTTCAAGAAGAGTAAACGCTGCTACAAACTGTAGGCTTCCGTCATCATAAACGACACTTCGAGGTTATTACCAACAGCACAGTACTAATGTGCCTGTAAGAGAAGGTAAACCCATTTGTATAAAAATGTGTATGTGTGGAAACGAGCTCTTCTTTATAGGGAGAGGCCTTAGGTCATAGAACGTGATGGTCCGGTATGAGGTTTGCCAATGGCGAAGTCGGGATTTTGCGACACGCAACACACTTAGTACCAACGTCAGAACGTCGTGTCGGGACGATAAACTTAGACCTCAGGGGCTCGTTTAAGTTCGTCGACAGCGAAGTTCTTCGTATCTCGCTGCAGCATGATTATCGTACTCATTTGGTTGACCTTATGCCGGTTTCGAGGGCGATGTCGGGTGGCATGATTCAGGCAATAGAGGCTTCGCAGTAGTCCTTCGACGAAGTCGTGGCAGACATCGCGACGTGTTTCACATCTCGGCAGGGGGTAAACTACCTCCGGCAAGAACTACACAAGGTACATCAGCACTGGTGTCAGACACGCACGGACACCCGTATGCAGTAGTCTGGTCGAGCGCGTGATCCTGACGGCCAAAAGAAGCCTAGCTTCCCTTGATGACCAATTGCGCGGCTTGTCCCCGGAATCGGCGCCCCATGTAGTAACGTCTACAAACAAGGACTTAGGAAAGTCATCGCTGGAACTGGTTTTCAAATACTAGGCGTACCACCGAAATGAGCTTCTGGCTATAAATACGTCGAGAGGCGGGATGCCGCGGAGCTGCAAAACGCTCGTCTACAGCTCCGAAGTCTTCGAACTCTACAAGCATGGTAGGAGCGGGAAAAGACGTGCAGGGATGCGAACACAATGGCACCTCACAGCTGTCAGGTCGGCACACCCCTCGATCGACAGCTCATCGTGAACGCGGCGGATCTACGACAATATGTTCGAAAATATACCTCGGTAGCGCGGCACAACGTAAAGATACTTGCAGCAATAATGTAACACTATTTGTCTTAGGTAAGGATGGTTCGGATATGGATAAAAGGGCTCTTTAAAGCGGGAAAAAAATTGCAGTGTTCCTCTAGCAGCTTTGTTTATATATATGAGGTGAGAAATCTTTTTCGGATTTTTCAGAAGTTGCATGAAAATGTCAATAATACCTGTCGTCGATTTCGGGCCAGAAAGGAAAAATAAATCTCACTGGATGATAGCTGAATAGAAATAATAGCCTTCACTTAAATTGTAAAGCTCGTTTTTCGTTATAGCGAATTTATTGTTGTATTTTCGGCTTTTTTTTTTCTAGACGTAACAACAGTAGGTGAATGCGTGCGTGTCACGATAAACAATTCGGCGAAGCTTCACCCAGTTTTACTCTGTATATATCAGTGTCGGAAAAATTGACTTTTTTTTAACAAACAGTCATAGCAATAGGGTTATTAGTGGTAGACCTGAACCGCGTTTTTGGCAAAAGAACAAGATTTGGCAAATCTCGTTCCACTTGAAACTTTTATACGAGAAGCTCTTTTGTACGCTCAGAATATTAATAGTGTCAATATTCAGAGACGTGTAATCGAAAAATATTAAAAGTATTCAAATTATACAAATAATAATTAAAAAATTGCAGCAATAAAAATCTAGCAAAAGTCTTAAACCTATATCCTTGCGTAGCTGTTTCCGCCGTTTAGCCAACTTTTAAAATGCTTTTGTAAATTTTTTCAAGACCTTGTGTCAGATCGTCAGGGGCATTCAGAAGATAAATACAATCAGAAGGATAAAAGAATTACTTAGCCTGTTTTACATAAAGCTTCTTCATATACAATAGTTTTGCTTGTAGACGGTAACAGCAAATTTCAAATGATCACGTGGAGCATATTATAATTGCAATGTAAGCGAATAGCTATTAATTACCTTGAGCTCTGTGTTGTCGAGCGACATGAGACCAAGATTAAGGCCGGAGAAGAGGCCGGAAAGTATAAGGAGCGTAATAACGATACAGGCCTGTACCCAAATCGGAAGTAGTCGACCCACCGATCGAAATGTGACGCATCGTGCCGAGCCTTGATGAATCCACCTGTTATGTGTAGAAAAAAGCAACAAACACGTTAGCGAACAGCAACAATGAGAGGTGAACGGTCCTTTATCGATCGTATCTATGAAAACGATAAGAAGATTAGTTTAGAGAAAATTACTAACGGGAATCTATGAGTTTACCATTTCTAGTTTATACCACTTCGTTCTGGCAGTAAGAACTAGATGATCATATTAAACGTTGATTTTGTTATCTATTTACTTTATTACAGACTGTTTGTTGCTTTCCACTGAGAAGAAACTTACAAAGCAACCATAATAACGATCATCCACATTTCATCGCCTATGATTGGTTCATTATATCTCTCATTTAATTGTTACTGTTGTCATAACGAGACACTTCAACGTCCATATCTTAAGCCAGAAGTACAGTCATTGCGTTTGCGTAAAAAGTACGTATATTGTGCATTCCTGCTCTAAAATTGCCTTTGCCCCTATTGATGGCCCACATGATTTTACTCTATCTTCCCTACTTTCTGCTGATTATATTAAGTCACTTTAGCATTTGAAGATGTCGCTTTCGCATGCCTAATAATCTAGCTCGTATATCCACTTGGGTAACAATCTAACTCCTGCCGTTAACTTATTAGCCGTTCAAAATGTCTGCTTATTGTACGATTGAGGAATATTAACTTCTGAAATTCAGAGGTCCAGGTCGCAGCCTTCAGTACACATATTTTAACCCATTACTAAATATATCTGAACACTAGATGATCTACTATATTTACCTATTTATTTATATTGCGGCAGTAGTTCAGAGTAAGATATGACACATACTTAAATGTTATGTCTAGAAGAACTCTCCACACCATACAGTTGTGCCAATATAAAAATGTTTGGTGGAATCATTTGTGCTACATTTGTACTTATTACATTTTGCAGGATCACGAGTTGCTCAGAGCTAAGGTCCTATAAAACAAAATGGCGACCAGTCGGTTTCATTAAAACGCACACAATAATCTTTACCTTTATTCCCACTTATTTTGCAGTCATCTCTTAGTATAGCGAAGTAAGTATAGTAAATAAAATTCTCTGAAAAACACCAAAACTGAGGATGGAAACAAATGATCATTCCTAAGAACTTCTCGACGCAACATAAATTATCTTCGTAATAGCAACGGGACAATGACTATATTAACAATATTGGCGTGCTACGGCAATCTGGAAGAGAACTAATGAGATAAGACAACATTGATAGAAACGTATCTTCTACTGACAATGATTTCAATCAAAGAATAACCACTTCTCAACTCTAACTTCCATAGTGTTACAACACAAAAAAATAAGAAAAGTTTTGGCCATTGCTTTATTACAGTACTATTTACTTAGTTGCCGCGGATCCTGAGCCACGTTTAAGTCGAAAGAAAATCCGATATTAAACGTTGTTTCTTTACTGCTGTTACTCTCAGTATTATTCCTGAGCTTAACGTTCGACTATTTGTAGTACAAATTTATTGGTTCTACAAAATACACTAAAACAATATTTTACTGGATCATCAGTAAACATTGATTTAGTTGGTGTAGCTAACTTTTTGTTCAAAAGTCATGGTCGATAGTCTTGTAAAAAAACATCTTCGAAAAAAACACGGATATCTTTTTTGGGACTACCGTTGGTAACCATGGGTTGACTGAAAAACGTCGGTAAGTCTGGGAAAAATCTGACGTGCATGATTAAGGTATGAAAAGCTAAAAAATATACCGGTGAGTTTCGTGACCCCATATGTCGCCAGACGGATCCCACTCAATATCGATGTATTAGTAATGAAAATAAAAAGTTTTAATTATGTTTAGGAGCGATAAGTAGATATATGTCCAATATATGCAGCCGAAGTTATTTCTACTCGTTTATATCCTATAGGTATTGACCAGTTGAATAGTGAAATAGTACACACCCAGTGTGCTCTCCATTCTCAGTCATGTACTTCACGCAGAGGTAGATCTGTGTATCGGCTGGCGAAGCGGGAAATTGCATTCGAAGAACGGCAACGTTTCCATCCAGCTGGACCGTTGGAGAATTGAAGTTGATTACCTGGGACAAGGCCATATCGGCGCACGACACGCCGCGATCGGCTGAAACCGAAAGGTAATCTACTGAATTAATAAATATTGTATGCACACCCATTACGTAGATTGATATTACATGTTTTCTAACAATACTATGGTATATGAATGTAAGCACAAGGAATATACGTATAGCAAACGGGTATTTTTCTAAAGTTTTCAAGCAATGTAGTGACTTTCAGAATTGTGGTACTAACCTTTGCATCTTAGCAAATTCCACTAGGACATCATTGCAGTTAAATATTGTTTACGCGATCATTATCTACAAGCATTTTTCAAGCAGATTTATTGCGCATAGGCGGTCTTTAGCATAACGTTTATACAGATATCTCTGGGTAGGACCATTCTACTCGGCAAATTTCCCTCATTGGGACTTTTTGTCTATAAATGTAATGTACATGTAGTACTGATGCTGTATCTACGAAGCATCAAATTCAGAATTTCTCTAATGCGTTGTCTTTGAGACTTTTGTCACTCAGCACTTAGTATTTTCACAATTTTTTTAGCAGTAACAGCGCGTCAAGCGGTATAGATAATTCTCAGAACTCAGAACTGAAAGTGTCACTCAAACATATTCCACACGAAAAGACCCGGAATTAAATTTTAGCCTTGTAGTAAATAAACACACTATATGAAATCAGACGACTGGCGATTAAGTCTAAAGGGCACAGGAAGCCCGAAGAAGACGAATTGTTGTAGCTTACCTAGACGAGCTAGTTAGCAAGAGGGGCTCTCTTTGAAAATTTTCTTCGAATTTTTTGCAAACTGCATGCAAAGTGATAATAACTATGGACTGTCACTCTCAGTGGCAAAGGAAGTTTAAGTAATTTAGGTGGGAGTTCGTCCCGTGTGAATGGATTTGCTGATAGCTCTAACGTCGCTCAAACTACAAAAACGACGCACTATTTTCCACTACGATTGATTCCTGACTTTGTCCTATAGCAGGCTGAGCGGATTAGCAGATGCATATTACAACGAATAGCTCCATAAGGTTTGTCCAAATTTCGACGGGACGCTCCATATATTTATGTTGAAGGAATTTAATGCACCCAGAAGAAAAGGTTCAATGGGCCGTAAAACATGGAGCATATCAGTTGGCGAATCGCGAAGGCAAAGACCTTGGTGAATCGGAAACATAGTAGGACTCATGAGTACAAATTTACTTACAGGCACCTAATACAGACCTGAAGAAATGAACATAAATATATAAAGTATCTGACAAAATATATAGTATGCGTAAACAAACAATGTCACCAAATTTGTGAGAATTTATGCGACTGTGTATGATGTCACCAATACTGTAAAAGACATACTAATAATAATAATGCACATTCAGTTGTTATATTATTTATTTGGAATTTCTAATTCAAGTAAAGGTCTTTTTTAATTTTAAGTGCGCTGTTGTTCTTGCTTTTTTAGCCAAACCGACAAGTCACATTTAGACTAAAATATCCACTAACCTGCGACATGAGTAAACGCTAAAATGGTTGAATTGCTGAAGCTGCTTCCGAAGACCTCGACGGTGACGACGGTGTCCGCTGGCAACTCAATCATTCCTGTGTCGTCGTCTGTAGAAATTCGACTCGATCCATAGGCACGAAGGCCACTCACTTCGGGGGCCATTCCCGTTTCACTAAATTTCATGTTGCCAAATATTCGATAGCCCAGTATGAGTACATAAGCTACAAGCTACTGCGGCAATGAAGATTATTTTTAACAACAACCGGAAATGGGTTCTAAGAATAACATCGCTATTTGCCTTAGGCAAAATGATTCTAAGCTCTGACTGGGGAGAATGACAACAAAAGTTACATGTCACCGATCTGAATTCCGTGTACAGACCGTTGCTTCTGGAAAAACCGTAACATGGGCGGCCTGCATCGGCTGCGTTTTAATGCGTTGTTGATAATGTCAGAGTGTAATAGCGGGTCAGTCTACTCTTTCCGAAAACGTAGACATGAAGACTGATACGAAGGTCAACCACGTCTCGTATATTTTCAGTATATTTAGCTTGATTTAGATTACTGAAATGAAAATCTAACGTTGCGATTCCGTCAACGACGCGTATGTATGACCTGCTCGTTAGCGCGGATTACCGTTTAGAAAAGAAAATAGTTACATATGAAATCGAAACTTAAGCCCACTAACGACTCACATTAACTTAAAATTCTAACGAATTCACTGAAAGTATGTATCCGACAAATGATCTCGGAAAATGAAACAGGCAGTGATATGTAACAATGGAAGGTACATGGTAAAGATTATGGTCAGAGGGGTGCAGAGCTGACAACCTTGGCTTACTTAGAGCTTACTCCTCAAAAGCAGTTAACAACACTTTTGAAAAACATCGACGTGTCTGAAAATTCACTGTCGGGTTGCGCATCCTGCAGAACGGTTAGAATCTTATCAAATTTGATTTTTATGTAATCATCTTCACAAAAATTAAAATCGAGTCAATTAGGACGCAACCGTGGATCTGGCTGGATGTTGCTAGCACTTTGTTCGCTCATATTAGCTAGTGTTCAATGGGGAGCGAGGCAGCTGCTGGTGTTTTTGATGAAAACCGATCGGGCAAATCTGCACTAAGACCATGGATCACGCCAAAACGGTCGGGCCGCCAAATGATAACAGATGACATAATAAGCCCCTAGTGTGCGAGTAGTTTGCAGAATTTAGGACAACGTTCGGATAGGTTAATCAAAACAAGGAGACGTCGTTGTGAATATTGATGGCTTTTTTGCCAGTGCTTGCCTTAACGATCAATCACTAAAGCGTTAACGTGACTCAGAAACAAAGCCTACTCCAGATGTATAGGTATAGTTGAAGTTTAACACAGTTGGCGACCACCTTACCGGGGACTGTCGTATTTATTCGAAGCGGTTGTAGGCCACGATTTTGCATCAATATTCAGCTGTCGTAATGTTTCAGGAAGGATGGAAACGAAACAAAATTAATAAAACTATATTTTTGAATTCCACAACGAATTTTGTGCGTCAACGCTATCTGTCATTAAAAAAAATCTAGGAAAAATCAAAAAGAAAAATAGAAGTAGTGTTGCTCCATGTCTTGATTCTGAATAAGCCCATATATAAGGCCTACAATTATGTGAGGCTAGAGTAAAAGGTGCGCTACTGACTTACAAAAGCTCTTAATCTACTGTCTGCGACGATTAACTATGTGTTATCATAGATTTAAACATATACGAGTGCGAACATAATGAGCTACACAGCTGGCAGATATCATTCGAAGTTAAGTTGTACGGTTGACCTAGCGTGGAGTAGAATATAAGTGTTTAAAATTAGCTAGACTCGTTCTCGCGACGCTCCGACAGAAAGACGCAATACAACTGATTGTATGCGTCGTTTCCTGTTACGTTAGCATGCGGTTGAAGAACTGTGATTTGGTAGAGCAATGAGCAAAAATAGATCCTGTCCACTTATTTAACTCCAGACGCGAACGTCGTATGACAAGGTTTCCGGCCTATGTGTATCGTGCGTAGCGTACCTCAGCGATACTTTATAATAACTTCGGACGACTGTGAGAGTTCTCGGACCATTGCCTGATGGAGCGTCCGCGCGACAAACACCGCAGCTGCAAATGTATCATTAGACCCCTGTTTTTCTATCCCGAAAAAACTATGGCATCATCATCAGAATTTTCCATGCCACGAATGGTCTTGATGGCTGACACCAGAAATCGAAGTTCACTATCTTCAACCGCAATCCCATCGATATTCTAGCCGCTGCGCAGCACGATTCATAATGCCAACCATCTTAAACGGCACTACGGGTAAATAATGTGTCATTAAAGACGCTGTGCGAATGGCGGCCGTTTTAGCTCGGCGGTCCACCGATAGGGAAGAGTGGCATCATATGGGCCAAAATTCACTCTTCTATCGTTTGAAGTCGTCCAGTGCCACGGTTAAAGATAGCGAAACGTTTATACTGCTATATTCACCACGAGCTATTCTATTGCGTGGTCAAAATAGGCTCAGCACAATTTATTTTCGAAAAAATCTGTACTGTCGGCCCATATAGACCCTCCAGGCGGAGTGAAATGAGCCAACAAATATACCGTACCCTATTATTTTCTGATGCGAGGAAATTATTTAATAGGACTAAATGAAAGCGCCTGTTTCTCTGAAAAGACGGTACTTCATAATAATTTATTGCCAACTTCAGCATCTTAAACAGTCGTCGTGTGAAAAAGGCAAAGAATGAAGAGCACACGCAGCTCTCCAAACCAGCTTGATTTCGGTATATATAATCAATTCCAATCTACGATCATGACGTAGTGCATATATCGATAACACTGCTTTTCTTTAATATCAATGAAGTTGTCAGGATTTCTTTCAGAAGCAACCACACATTGTTGACAATAGCGATATATGGCGTGTCGGCTGCGAAGCACCGATCTCTTATTTTAACTCGACGTATACGTAATCTTACCAAGCTAAGTTATACTTTAAGGCGTTTTAGCTATTCTTCTGTCGGCAGCATCCAATTTCATATACACTCGGAATGTAGGAGTCTATATATATTACATATATATACACCCCCATAGATAAATATATAGCGTTCGGAGTAATGATGTAATAGACTTTTATAGACCGAAATTTTGCTTTCAGTTTGTTTTCGAAAATGTAGTTTTGAGAGAAGAGGAACGCTGAAAAACGAGGCGCCTTACAAAAAATTTGAAAAAAATACTTAACTACTCTAGCATATTTTATAATTTCGTTAAAAGGAAAAATATAATAACGTACGTTGAGCTAAATCTCTGACCTGTGTGTATCTCATTCATTTTGTTGGATAATAGTAAGAACTAAAATCAATCAGTCCCCTTGTGTAAGAAAAACGGAATAACCCATATTGCACCTACCACTACCTTCTACTAGAGCTAGATACCCAATGTTGCGCACAGATTCGCCTTGATATGGACCTGAAATTCAAATCTAGGTGCTGGCAGTGCGCTTTGTTTGTTGCGGATAGAATACATGTATAGGTTGTATTCTGCCCGCACGTGTTTTGAAAGTTCTCACAGATATGATTTTATGAAGAGATCAGCCAAAAATTCTACTGATGATATATATATATATATATATATATATATATATATATATATAGAAATAAAATGCTTTTGTTCGCTATGCGTATAGCGGCGTGCTATAGATAGCCTTGTGCAAAATGCGTAGAATCACCAGTGGCTCTTAGAGATAGGTGAGGTGAGCATAACATAATGACATTGATGATATACCATAGCTCTTAGCACAAGGAGGGGTTTTGCAGATCAAACTCTTTACATCTATGACACGGACCGCCACTCTTAAGGCAGACTCTATAAATGCGTTAGGTTTTTATTTGTACTGAAAAGAATAGCATTTCAATATGGCGTCCTCTATAATTTACCTCACTAAGACTTGGACATAGCTTTAAGGTGCCGTAAGGTACGAGTCTGCCTTAAACCTAAAATCTATTATTTTTATTTTATACAAAAATTCACCAAAGGACACTTTAACCCTTGAAGCCGTATGTTGAAAATAACTACATAATAACAAATACAGTCGTAGTGGAAAAATGGTATCTCTTAAGTGACAACAAGTAGCAAACGTGCTTACGGCTATGCTTATTTATCGATAATTCTATTTCAGCGATTGGTTTAATTAAGTTGCAGGAGCCGCAATTTGAACAAGAACTGAATCTTGACTGAGGATCACAGATACGTTACCATTTTCTGTTTAGTCGTAAATGTGGGGTGACGGCCGCTAATAGTCCTATCTTTTATCTATCTACCTACCTATAAATAGAATACAATGAGCAATAACAACATGCGTATTTATTTACCTATAACTATATATATAGATATATATATTGTAAGAACTTAACTCAGGTGGATGCAAAATCTCAAGCGAACTCGGTTCACGATCTCGTAATTGCCTCTGTTATAACCAAAGATCTAACGTCGCCCCCGTCGCGTCGCGGACCCAGTAATAATGGGAACAGTCCAGCACGTCAAGACCCGCTGTTGCATTTCGCCTGCGGCTCTTGGGCCAACCACAAACTTTAACCGGCACTAATACCTGTCTCTTGGTGTTCCGTTATGAAGTGCGGGTTTTATCCGTTTCCGTTTAGCACGTTGACTTCGCCCAGAATACGATGTGATTTAATGTATCTATATATTTTTGTCTAGATTATAGAAAAGCTGTCCATAATTGAGTAAACCCACTTGAGAATGCGTCGTCTCTGGTGCCTTACGTCAATTGCCTACTTGATCGATCGCCTGAGCATACGGCACGTACATATGGGAGTGTACTTTTGAAAGGGTAAGATTTTTTGCACATAACAGAATATTATTTACGTAAGATGCCGTCGTGGCAACCGCATGAATTTGGGTATCAGGGTGTAGTTTTCAGTTTTCTTACCGACGGATAATTTACAGACTGTCAAAAAGCTTTGTTAATAACTAGCGCTGTTATACATGCGTACAATACTAACAAAGCAAACAAATTTAAGTAGTTCAATTTGAGCCTTTTAAGTGCTAAAATGATACTAGATATAAATTCGAATGGCAGGAGATGTTTTTACGTATCGGTGATTTACAACGCAAATCAGCTTAAGTAACAACAGTAACGCTACGCTACGTTTCCGAAGCTTGAAATTACAATAGTTGTTACGCTTAATATTCGTGTATTTATTTGTGTGAAATAAACAAAATCTATGTTTAAATGGGCCATTTTATAAATTAGGGTGCGTTTGCTTGCTCATCTATATGACACTTACAGATTACGGGTGTGAGATAACTAATTGTCTATGATTATCTTGTTCAAATACACTCGTGAAGCTTTTGTCTTGTTCTAGTTTTTCTCCGTCTATTTCTCGTAAGGGCAACGTTTCCGTAATCGACAATACCACCCGTAGCGCGACGAGAGAGTTAGAGTAACGAGTGTAATTATATTCATTCCGGTTAAATCAACTGGACACGGAACCCGAGGCCTGATGGTTTTCGATTCTTCACCCCCGTCATCTTCGGGTCGAAATAGGCCAGCAGGCTCCGGTTTTCAGCTCGAATACGTACCTTCCAGTCATACTATGTTTATGAGACAGCCTTAATCAATCAAGTCAAACTGTACGACAAGTCGTAGGTTCTGGCATCATTGAACATCTGAAATTTCATGGAGATTAAGTGGCTGCCGGAGTGCAAGGGAGATCCCTTCAATCTCTATTCTAACATGAGGTCTGCATGAGATGACTCTTTAGTGAATAGGATCGAAATGCAAACAGGAAAAACGATGCCAAAAGCACGAAATACAGTAATGACCCTACTTTTCAATCAGAGCAACCATCACCGATCAATAAAGAGCAAACTCACAACAATTTAACCTTCAGCATGTAGAGAGCAATATTGCTATTCCAATTATTCAAAGATGTCTGTTTAGATCGCTTAGCTGCCTGGAGACGTGCTTTTTGGTACCCGCAGCTTGGGCCAGCATGAATCTGTTGCTCTACGTTGATATCGGCGCAGAATTCGAAAAACGACAAAAAAGTTTCACTGAAAATTAAGATCTTACTATTGAAAGGTGCGCACTAATGTAACATTCACAGAGGGAGAAATATCGAGATATAATGATATCCTTGGCTCCGATGTACGAAACGACCGTCGCTGTGGACGAGCAGCAGTGCCTAATATAAAGGAAAACTCTTCTAGATCCTTTTAGATAAATCCTTCTATATTTACTCAAAGAGACTAGCAGCGTTTCAGTTCTCATTGTTTGCGTAGACGACAATTGTATGTGTGCGGTTCGTATGGTTCCGGTGACGACTGCAGTGTGGTCCACATGGAGACGGTGTCGGGAAACAATGACCTTCATATGATACGTTATTCCATTCTTTCAACTGCATGCTTTGCCCTATAAACCGTACCTTCGCCGCCAAAAATACTTTTTCTTCAAAACCGACGAGATTGTCCAGAAAGCAATTTATTCCCACGTTGGCAAAAACCCTAAAGCCGTCTCTAACAAACGATTCTAACGGTTTCTTTTGAAACTCTGCCGACATACGCACTATCGTAATTTAATAACTAAACATACAAGCCTGAATTAAACCGGTTCTAAAAACGTATTGCTAAGCTTCCTTTGAAGAAAGAAGAACGCTATTTTTAAATAACGCCTAAATACTAACTTGTGACAACTGTGTCCTTTTATTGGCACGAAGGCGACTTTGTTAGGATGCATTGAGCCTATAGGTCAACAAGAAGCTCGTCATCTTACTAGGGATGTATATTTAAAATAGAGAAAATATTTTTTTCAAATAAATCGCACGTACCTGAAATTTGAAGTAGCTTCCTCTCTAGCATTAGCGTCGACTTATATAACTGGTGTAAAGCATTTAAAAGAAAGCATTAAGAGAAAGATCTCTAAAATTTAAGAAGAACTGTACTCGGGTAAGGGTGAATGGCCTTTTGGGCGACTATAGATTGATATCATTCTACAAAAATGGGTTAAATATTCGCAGAATGCTCTCGTAGTAAATTTAATGAGTGTTTGTGAAGACATGGGGGTCCTGACGATTACGGGACGAAAAACTTCGATTCATCTTACATATTCATACAGTAAAAAGCTAAGCGTATGAGTGAGTGCTGTCGTTTCGTCATGGCGAAGCTTATTGTGGTCTCGAATTCAATCATAATCCAATCAAAAGCTTGGTAAAGATGCCAGCTACTTCCGACAAATGCTCGTGATCCCTAACAAATCTCTATTTTGGATTTCACTAGCCACAGATATATCTGAGCATGACAACACATCACCAACCACAGTCAAAAGGGTTGTTCTCCTTTTTAGAGTGTGCGTCATATATATATATATATATATAATGTTGGTGAGAAGATATAAATTTGGCTGGTTTTTTTTTTACTTAAAGCTGTGCTATTATATTGAACAGATGATTCATACGAAGAATGCTATAGCGAAGTCGATTTCATTCCAAGATTGCACTGATAAATGATTTTAATAAATAGATCATTCATAAAAGCGACCATTTCATGTGTAACCAATGTTTTTTGTTTGAGAACGATCCAAACATGGCACTGAAGTGATACATGTCGTATTACTGGGGCTTTGGTCAAAGTTGGTTTGATTGCTGTTATCACTATTGTTAGTTATACTCAAGCTGCATTTGTTACGCCTAATAACATAGTTTTATAATAGCTCTAGTTTTCTACACGTATATTATTGTCATAAATTGAAAAAAATAAAGCGTAAAGAAACGAGTAAATATCTAGGGGAAAAATTCATGTATACGAAATGAATACATCTTTTATTTGTTTTTATTTATATTTGGAAAGTCATAATTTATAAAATTTCTTTGAAAATGGCTGTTGGACACTACGGAGCGGTAGTGATATGGTCATGGAGAACCTTCACCGGTACTGCACTGTGAAATTTATAAGCATGGTGCATTTTTTGGGCGATGGGTAACATACGGCAAAATTTCAACCTTTTAGTGCGTATTCGATGAATGGACACGTAATATTTGCTTCAGCTAGCATGTCCACACTTTAAAAGAAACAACACAGAAGAATACTTCAAACGCTGTTGCTAAATATGCATAGAGGTACGTCTGTTAGTTTAGAAGGACCTTCACCATTCCGTTAGCGCAGGAAAGAAAAAGAAGGGCAAAAGCAAACAACGAGACGCTTTCGTAAAGACGGTACTACGGTGACCCGACAGATGTGGTCTGCCACGAAAAAGGAGGACAACAAGGCGGGCATAGAGCTGTCACGGCTAGGGCAACCAACGTCTTACGACATAATCCTCGGCGCTATCAGGTGGCTACAACGCAAAACAGTCCAGCCTCGGAGATCATGCAAAACACCAACAACGGACAGCATGGCAGGTCAGCGTGTCCACATTACAACAACTTTGAAAGCTTCCGTCACAATACGAACGGACTAATCGTAAAGGATTATTTTTTTGTCGCACGAAAGATGATCGTACGACTACTACTTGGCTGCTTGGGAACCGCCGTGTTATCCACTCATACCAGCCCTCTCCAGGCCTCTCTCCGCTCTTTGCGTTGCTGCTGCCACCGCCGCCGGCGTGACTATCATCATCAACATCGTCAAGTAACCGTGGTGACTTGTAAAGATTTTACAAGAAATAGCTCTTTTCTTTTTATCCATAGCAGAACGTCTTGTTCTAGATTTGCCGACCCCTGAACCACAGCCCGTTATCATTGCAGCGACAGGAATTACGGGAACAGGAGTGCGCAATGCATAGGCGCAGTAGCAGCTTCCTATTTCTATTCCCTTTTCGTACAGGCTACCCAGAACCATCCGCATCATCATCATCATCATCGGTACCATGGCAATGGTCAATATCATCAACCCTCCAATCAACAGCATCAACGACACCACACAGATTCATTTTTATCCACCATCCTGTCGTTCCTACTTGTCCATAGCCAAAGGCAGACACAGACAGTCACCCGGCCATTTCCACCCAGACAGTTCCAGTAGCTCACCAATGGTAAAAGATTCACAACTCAACTCAAAAGTGTTCCCAAAGACATCAAAACCATTTTGCTTTTCTAAACTTCTCACACCGCTCCGAACGTTCGGCTCAATTTCTCAAACAAGTCAATGACGACGAAGCCTATACATTAACACTTGTCTTGAGCTTCACATGAAGAAAACACTGTTCCCGTATTGAACAGAATACTCGTACTCTTCGACTAATAAAAGAAAACGCACCATACTACGATCCAGTATATGTAGCATACTATACACAGACATAAGATTTTTACAATCTGAAAAATTTTCCTGCGGTTTGGTTACACTATCATTACCATCAGCGCTAACGGGAAGCTAAACGGGAAGTGTTGTTATCGCAACTGTATATTGTCACCACTGAAGTGATACTACCTGAAACCGCGTTACGACATAACAAATAATTCTAGAGATAATTCGCAACCTCGAAGGTACACGGTTATGTTGGACTTCAGTCGGTTCTTTGGCAAAAATCGACCCTGTAGTCAACTTGAGTTCCAGTAATCCCCATGAGCGCCCGGAGGTACGAAAATCACCGCCCAACTGCAAGCAGCTTTCTGATTAAAAAAAAAAAAATTAGGAAATCGAGTCCGTCAGCTCCGCACCGGTCGTCCATTTAATAGCAGCCGTTGGAGCTGCTTTCAGTCCTTTGAGTGTTAAGCTAACCTAGACCTTGGCATTACTAGACTACCGGACATGATTCAATACAAAATGCATCAAATCAAAAACTCGTCACAAATACGAATCGGTAAATTCTTCCGGAGTCCGTCAACGCTGTTGAAGCCGTAAATCTAAAAGGAACAGCTTTTTCTATTCATTGATGGTTAGTTAGTGAATTGGATCATTATACGACACCTTCACAAGTAGCGTGCATAAAAATACCAGTGCCAAAATTCGATCGAAGAAAACTATGGTCCAGTAGGGTGTCGCTAAGCTCGGTGCTTCTACTCGAGTAATACGGTGTATCGTCTTCGTATCATGTTGAATCTGTCTATTCGGACCCTCATAATTGTTAATTTTCTACAGGAATAGAACTTTATAGATTTTCATGTGTCCCGCGTAGTTGGAGCCGATAAAGCAATCAGAGTAATCATCCGGACGGAGACCCTCGATAACCCAATCGACTGGCTTGCTTCCGTAACCATTTGTAATAAATGAAAACAATTTAAGTAGGTAATAAAACTTGATAAGAAATATGTGTAGTTGATTTAGGCAATCTAACGGCAGAATAGACGGTGTTAGTGGTTATTACCAGCTGCTATTGTGACAGTATATCGATAACCAGTAGCAAAATGGCTAAGAACACCCCTGTGAGCCATATGAGCACGACGTCACCAAGTGAAGTTCGGAAAGATCGCTATCTTCCCGTTGAGTGGTTGCTGGCGATTGAGGCTATAGGGTGATCATAACGGGTACACTTGAACCAACGCGCGAGGCTCTACGGATAACTGCGGAGGCAGTCACAGGAACGAAAGTAACTCCTGGTTCAGCTGGTCAGCTAGTGCCTTCGACATCTATGTAGCAACTTGTCGAAAATGTTATAATGCTATCTAACGCGAACAACTAGAATAACTTGAAAAACGCGTATTCATAGGTAGCGTAAGCCATCCGTTCACTTCTTATGGAATTAACTAGCTGAGTGTTATTACTAAATGGTGAAAAAATTAGAAAAGTTAATATATTAAATGGTCTCTCTATATATAATATAAAGAATGGCACTCTTCTTGCAAATGGTTATATTCCGAATGTAAATATGCCAGTAATAAGCAAATATAAGAACCAACGTTCAGCGACAATACCGGATGTAGAACTCGAGACATTTAGATATCCCTGCATAAGTTTTCTCGAGTAATAAAGAAGTTCAAAGGATGCTTGAACATCGCTGACAGGACCCACACAAGAAAAAAAAGCGACATTTTTCCACAGCGGTAAGTCGGCAAAAGTCAAATCAATCCAGATTAATTGTTCGATTTATTTGTGTTTCTTTAACATGGACATTTTAAGTTTTACGTTCGGATCTACGTTAATATTGCATCAGACGATTAAACTCTCTACTCTCTAAATTTCATTCTTCTTGCCTACGGTGGCGGTGATGTTATTTTCCGTTTATTTTTATAATAATTTGTTACCAGTACGATGTTTTTAACGATTATATTATGTATAGACTTGTGACAAACATATAATGAATACCTGTTACTCAATAAATATTGAACGTAAAATTGCAATTAATATTGAAAATATAGCGTGCCTCGGTCGGCAGGCCCTCAGCTACTTTCTTTAAACGAAGTGCTAAATAATATAGGTAGAGATAATAGCTCATCTCGAACTTTTTTGCTTTGTCTAATCTAATCTATACGAAAAACAAGTCTATCTGCTAAAATAGCTATCAATTATTGAGTAATCCGGTCATGTTGACCGTTTGGGCGACTCGGTCTCGAATCATACCGTTCGTCTTCAACAATAAGGTTTTGGTCTGCCGAAGATACGCCTCGCGACCAGCTTGTCGCTACGTTACCTCAATCAAAGGACGCTTCTTCTTCGCTAACTTATTTCCGCTCTATTGCAAACCATATTCCCAGCTGGCCTACTCTCCTGGGGCTACAATGACTCACAGTCCGTTACATTATGGTTAGTTAAAAAGTCGCAGCGAAGATCTAACAGGGCAAGGGTCTGACCAACCAGTCACACACTGCTAAATTTTTCAATTAAGAGGCACATTGTGGATACCTTTGAATTTATTTCAATAAATTTATAGTGGTAACAACTCAAACGCAAGGCAAAGTCTAAACGAAACGTAACAGAAATACTCCCCGAAATACAAAATTTAGCTAGGCAGTATAGGAAATGAAACTTTGTTTCAGTGTTTTCATCAGGTATGAATAGCGTCAAGTTTCTCTTGAGCAAACGAAAACGACGTTTGAAAGTTCTCAGAGAATGTGAGGTCTGCACGTTTTTACCCGATTTTACTGAGGCGAAAAAAGACTTAGTAAAAATAAATTTAGCACTCGGTGCTTTATTTATTAATATTAAACCCACTGGTTCCCAGTTCTGCGGGGGCTTATGTCTTAGCACGGATTCAGACCAAAGGCCTCCTGGTTTGCAGTCAAAAACCTTCTCGTTCAAACCACCGAGGTAAACAAGCAGTTATCAGCTGCCGGGCACCAAAACATCTCTATGTGACACTTACATAAGCAGATCAGAACCAGTCTCGAGGAAGCGATTTTAATTCAACCTTATGTGTACGTAGAGAGGCGTTGAAGGTTCGAACCGCGAAAATAACTGCCAGAAGCTTAAATTGATAAATCCTTCCGGGGGAGCGTGGGTCAAGAACCCATATATATATATATATATATATATATATATATGTGCAAGGATCTGTCGCTGCTAAAACCTCTTTTAAGCAATGTACACTCATTTTGCTCGTCGAGCAAGCTGGCGCTAACAGTTTTGTTTGTTTACGAAAATTTTCGAGTTCTCATGCTTCAGTGGCTTCGTATGTGAGTGTGTAATCCATTCGTCCGTTCAAGAAAATGTAAACGTGCCGTCGTCCATTTATGCAGCGCATCACTCAGTCTGCTGCTGCTCATCACGGCGTATTGTCCATATGTGGTAAAGTGAATATGATCCCGTCAACACGCAGACCTATAAGCTTACTTGAGTGTAGCTGGTTGACGAATCGCAAGAATCAAATAGATCACAGTTAGGGTCAGGAGTGCGACAATCAAACAAATTCACTACGACATCACATACTACCGATCGGTCAGAGCATGCGGCGCGCAATTTCACCATTGAGAAGAGAGAAGCTGAAGCTTTTTTCATCGACGAGTATTCTTTGTACGTAGACCTTACAAAAAGAGTTCCATACGTGTACTATTACTAGGCCAATGTATTTTGAAACCTGTTGATTAATAGACGACCAGCACCGTTTATCTGTTGGCGACTACCTGGCACAGTTTGTTTTTGAAGTCAGCCTGACGAACTTTTTCTTATTTTTCTGATATTTCTTTTCCTGTCCTTCGACGGAGGAGAATCAATAGTTGACGGTCAAAAAGCGACAGTATATATCTCCTAGAGCGAACGACTCGGCGTTCAGTTTTCAAATAGATTTAACAACTAGGTCAGCTGCTCTAAATATTGGCCTGCCGGATCGATAATGCATCCAAGCCGATGGTATATAAATAGATATATATATGGAAATCGTTCAATCAGCAATACTGGTAACGAACCAAATATACTTTTATTATATAGTAAAAATGTCTACCGAAAAAAAGTACCACTAATGTCTCAGTAGGCTCAGTGCCTGTCACGAGACAGTCCTTTCTATTTACACAGGTTTATTACACGAGTCTCTCTATTGTGAAATACCGAAAGATCGTGATCTGCTGTAGCATTTCGTATTACGTCTAATCTAAGAATTTTTTTCATTTTTGTCATAGTT